GTCTAAGGTTACTGTCATGATAGTTAAGCATTAATGGCTGATGTGCCGAGACGACGCGGTCAGCTCTTCCGAAGAACTGTTACCCCCGAATAGTTAATGCTCAGTTGATGTCAGATGTCAATCTGGGGGATTTGGGTACTCGGGGAATGGCATAAATGCTCGGCATTTAGCCGAGCATTTACCCCATTTTTCTAGCATTCACATAAAGCATAACGTGAGTAGAAAACACTCATTGCACGAAGAATGGTATGTCAGATGTAAGATGTCCATATGAGACTGGAGATCTTTGACAATTATTGCTAATTCAGGTATAAATATTCCTCACGAAAATGAACAAAGGTACGCAAACTCGAATCAGAAAAAGAGTCTATTGAGCAAAAGCCTTCGACTTTATATTGACTTAAGCCTCGGAGGGAATTAGTCGGGCACTCGCCTGACCCCCCTTTTTCTGATCCTATTATTTCAGGTTCATCAATTTAAAAATTACTGTCTCACACTATTACAAAAATTATCCCGTACAATCTGATATCGAAATAATTGAGTAGACATGGACCGTATGATTGAGGTCAAGGTGGGTTTGGTTGTTTCTTATCTTCTCATTTCTGCCTGCCCACTTCATTTTAACTTAGCGCCACGCAAACGCAATTGAGTTTATTTGCACTTTGCATACACACGCGTCTCATTCTATAGCAATGCATTCTCTTGTGTAATGGAAGAGTTAAATCAACCATTTGGACCACTGGTTCAGACAGCAGTACAGCTGATTTGAAATCTATAGACAGATGCATTTAAAAAATAGTAACGTAGGTAAAACTTATTTTTGAAAATCAACTTAAAAAGAGAGGGGTTTCCAAGAATTCATATAAATATATGTCGGAATTAAATTTACCCGATGTTAAATCCTAATACTCTCTGTGTACCTNTTTTTTATAGGTTTTGATGTTAATTTTGTAAGTAATGAATTTTTGTTTTCTTAATTGATTCTAAGAATGCAAAAGAATAAAAGAGTTTTAATAACTAACGAGGTAAGGACAAAATTAGAATATAATAGAATTTTAAGATTTAATTGAAATAAAATATCAAGAATAGAATTTCATTAATATATAACAAAAATGATAGGGTTTAAAGGATGTTTGTGGGGGGAAAAATAATACTTATTCAAAATTTTCTCATCTTGTTTGGATATCATTATCGTCAATTACTATTTCTTACGATAAAGTTATAATTTTAAAAAGAAAAGTTACAATTGTTCAAACGAAGCTCATGACCGATTATAGACATTTATAATCGATCATAAAAAATGTGATATCGATCCTAATTTTTTATAATCGATCATATCTTTTAAAATTATAACTAACAACTAAAAAACGTTATAAGTTTTTTGTATTTTAACGGTACCGTAGAGGTTCCCTAATAATGAAGGCACAACGTCATGGACTTTCATATTTCCTTTGACATTGTCCAACAACACTATAAACATATATATGGTATGTTTCTCAGAAGGAATCGAAAATAGGACGGGGTAAAAAAATAGTATTTTCTCATTCTTATTTGGTAGAAGGGATTGAAAAATAAATATCTCTCATGGGTCCCACAATTATGTTGGCTTGTATTCATGAATACTCTTTTTGGTTGTATAAAAATATATTACAATTATTGAGAGATAATTTAAGAACTTAATGTATTATAATTATTGGATTAATAGTATTAGGATCTAGTGATAATTTAATTGTAGAATCCACTGACAATATAATGACTACAATCATTAAGTCTCCAAATTATATCTCAGTAATATTACTCATAAAAATATAGAGTAAAAATATCTCATGCGTCCACCGTTATGTTGGCTTGTACCAACACAAAAAATGTGGATCCCACCACCTTTCTTTTGTTAAATTTAAGGGAAAAGTTTAATCTCACCCTTTTTAATTTATTATGTCTTTAATAATATTTCTCTATTTTTTAAATTTTCACTGACACTCCTATTAGATTAAAAGTGCTAATTAGAATNAGTTTATTATATCTTTAATAATATTTCTCTATTTTTTAAATTTTCACTGACACTCCTATTAGATTAAAAGTGCTAATTAGAATACAATTTTATTAAATTATTCATGATATATTTCAAAAAAAATTTTATCCAGACCCCCTCTAAATAGACATATCTTAAATAAAACCCCCTTTATTTTTTAAAATTTTTTACGTGTTAAAATTCAGGTTAATTTAAACTCGATTTGACTTGATTAAAATTTATTTTTTACGTATTAGAATATGAGTTGATTAAAAATTATATTTTTTTACGTGTTAAAATTTGAGCCAATTAAAATTTATTTTTAATCTGCTCGAATCAAATTTTAATCAACTCGAGTTGAATTTTAATCGATCCAAATTTTGATACATAAAAAAATATAAATTTTAATTGACTCAAATTTTAATACATAAAAGATTAATTTTAATCAAATTTGAATTGACACAAATTGAATACGGACAAATATAAATTTTAATTGATTTGAACCAAATTTTAATCGCTGTTAACAATGCAAGCAGAGCTCTAATCAGCTCGAATTTTAATACTTAAAAAAAATAAAATTTAATCGGCTCGAATTGAATTTTAATCAGCTTAAATTTTAATATGTAGAAAAATAAATTTTAATCAGCTCAAATTTAATATGTAGAAAAATAAATTTTAATCGACTTGAATTTTAATCGAATTTTATGCAGAAAGATTATTTAGAGTTTATGTAGGGGTAATTTTGATATTTTAGATGATTTGTTTTTTTGTTAGAAATGATAGTTTAATAGCAGAGGATGTCAGTGATGTTTAAATATAAGCTAAAAAAGGGTGTTGATGATGTTTTGGATAATAAAAAAAGTATTCTTAAAAATATGATAAACTAGAAGAGATGCGACTAAAATTTTCCCTAAATTTAACATTTGGATAACACTTTTTCATCTATTTTTTTGCTCAAATTTGGGTGGATTATAAATGATGGGCGGAAAGGCATATCTTTTCCATCTTATTTTTCTTTCCTCTTCATTTTTCTTTCCCCTCCACATTTCATCCATCTTTTGTCTTCCATTTAAATTTCTCTTAGAACCAAACAGAGTGAGGGCATGAGCAAGTAATCTCTGTAAGTTATATATATATATATATGAGGAGATTTTAGGCGACTCAGCAACCTCTAAATTGACACGTGAATTGCTATAGTCGTTATGAAACTCAAAAGGAGTGGAAAAAATGGTGTCTAGGAGTCATTACTCGGAGGAGCCGAGTAAACAGGCTGAGATTAGTATTTAAGGAGATATGANGGATTGCTATAATCGTTATGAAACTCAAAAGGAGTCGAAAAAATGGTGTCTAGGAGTCATTACTCGGAGGAGCCGAGTAAACAGGCTGAGATTAGTATTTAAGGAGATATGACAGCTCATTAATGAGAACTTGAGTAGATGTGATAGAGCTATTAATGAGCTTCTTCATCCTCGAGACCTCAAATTGATAGTCATAATTAAAAAGCATTAATGCTCATTGCGCCGATCAGTTGCTCTCGATAAATCCTAAGGTACTATACCCCCAACATTAAAACTCGGGAATAAGTGTCAAGCACTGATTAGAGAAACATAAATGGCCGGGGGGGTCTTCATAAGTGCTAGACATGCCCCCGAGCACTTGTCCTATCATCCGAGCATTGAACGCTCACAAAAATCTGAGTGGAGAATACTCATTACGCGTGGAGAATAGTATAAGTCATTAAATTTTGTGATGGAGCTCAAGACCCTTGCGCTTATTACTGGTGCAGCTATAAATGTTCCTCAAAAAATGAATAAAGGTACACAAAATTAAACGAAAAAAATACATTACGCTAAATCCTCAAATGCTCACTGACTTAAGCTTCAGAGGGGATGAATTAGGTGTTCACTCCACCTCTTTCCTAATTTTTGTTGATCGTTTCAAGTTCACCATCCGTTGAATCGCTATCTCTATTCATTATAGGAAATCAACCGTGCAATATATATATATTTGATTTATTTTTGAAAGAAAAAACGACTCCTATCTATTTTTTGACATTGAGTAGTGAAAACTTATGTAAAGTATTTAATTATGCCCGAGTTAATGAATGTCATCATTTTATTAAAAATGTTGGTCAAAATTTATGTACTGTCATTTTCTGGGAGCGGCTCCTCCGCTGTTATTGAAAAACAGCACGTGGTCTCGGTCTCCTCCATGTGCAAGCTCTGTTCAAAGTCATGTTAACAACACAGTCAAGTAACGTTTTTAAGTCGTTAGTCCGAGCAATGTTTTATGTGATTTTTTAAAAATATAAAATTTTTTCAAAGGTGTTGGTGGGAATGATATTTTTACACAACGGCTAATATTTTTTGGTATAAAAATATCGATTAAAATGACGTTTCTAAAAATACATAAATTTAAAAAATAGTTTGAAAAACACACTCTTTTGAGTATAAGTTTGAAAAGTCCACGGTTGGGGTAAAAGCACGTAGTAATGACGTGACTCAATAATTTTTTACAATCCTTGAATATGAAGAAAAGTAGAAAACGACGACTCTCTTCCAGAATAATCGGACAACTGACTTAAAAAAAAATTATAAATTATATTTGTTTAACGATTAATTAATACTACATAAACTTAAAAATTAAATTTGATAATCTGAAACATTGAATAAGCAGTGAGTCCTAATAAATGCTGAGATCCACAATACAATCAATAGTTCTAATTATTAAGTTCAATTTTTAGGTCTATTTTTTAATTTCATATAACATTCCTCTCATTGAACAAAAGGTTCCGAATAATGTTAGATAAATTTAAAAATTAAATTTAATAATCTCAATCATTGAGTAGATAATAAATTTTAATAAATACCGGGACTTATAATAAAAATAATCAAATTTAATTTTTAATTCCAGTTGTCTCGTCTAACAAGAAAGAGACTTCCTCTTCTACCTTTAAATATTGCAATTCAAGTCGAACATAAACACAACAATGGCTTCTCTTCCCTCGGGTTCATGGTCATCTGAATCTGATCCTCACGCTGTTTTATTTCCATTCATGTCAAAAGGCCACACCATCCCACTACTCCACCTAGCTCGCCTCCTCCTCTACCGCCGAATCGCCGTCACCATCTTCACCACCCCAGCCAACCGTCCCTTCATCTCAAACTCCCTCTCCGACACTACCGCCTCCGTCATCGACCTTCCTTTCCCTCAAAACATCGATGGCATACCCGCCGGTATTGAAAGCACCGACAAACTCCCCTCCATGTCTCTCTTCGTCTCTCTCGCCACCGCTACAAAACAAATGAAACCCAGATTCGAAAAAGCCTTGGAGACTCTACCACATATAACTTTCATCATCTCCGACGGATTTCTAGGCTGGACCCTAGACTCGGCCACCAAGTTTGGTGTTCCTCGGCTGGTCTATTATGGTATGAGCAATTTCGCTATGACCATGAGCCGATTTGTGGTTGAGAATCGGCTTCTCTTCGAAAAAGAGTCAGCCGATGAGTTATTCACGGTGACAAAGTTTCCATGGATCAAGCTCACAAGAAATGACTTCGAACCACCGTTCACTGACCCTGAACCAAAGGGTCCTCATTCCGAGTTCATTTTAGACTCGGTCATATCAACCTCAAAAAGCTATGGCCTAGTCATGAACAGCTTCTATGAGCTTGAGCAGCTGTACGTTGATTACTGGAATAGCCACTATGAACCCAGGGCATGGTGTGTGGGACCTTGTTGTCTAGCTGAGCCACCAAGTGTTGAATTCGAATCAGAAAATTATCAGAAACCACCATACATGCAGTGGCTAGACCAAAAGCTAGCTGATGGAAAATCAGTCCTGTACGTTGCATTTGGGTCTCAAGCAGAAATTTCCTCTGACCAGTTCCGAGAGATCAAAATCGGATTGGAAAAATCAGAAGTTAATTTTTTGTGGGTTGTGAGAAGAAATGAATCTGAACTCGATGATGGGTTTGAAGAGAGAGTGAAAGAAAGAGGAATTCTAGTGAGAGATTGGGTTGACCAGAGGAAGATTCTTGGTCATTACAGCGTTCAAGGGTTTCTGAGTCATTGTGGTTGGAACTCGGTGATAGAGAGCATATGCGCAAAGGTTCCGATACTGGCGTGGCCGATGATGGCGGAGCAACCAATTAATGCTCGGATGGTGGTGGAGGATATCAAGATAGGTCTAAGGGTAGAAACATGCAATGGGTCTGTGAGAGGGTTTGTGAAGTGGGAAGAATTGGAGAAGATGGTGAGAGAATTAATGGAGGGAGAGATGGGGAGAGACGTGAGGAAGAAGGTGAAGGAAATTGGTGAGATGGCCATCAAAGCTGTTGAAAAAGGTGGGTCGTCATGGAATACATTAAATGAGCTCATTGATGAGTTAAAAACACACCCATGAGGGAGTTTGTTTTTTTTCTTTCCATGCTGCTCTGGTAACTGTTCCTGGATTTACTTTTTTCGTATATAATTTGATCCAATGTGTTGTTTGAGTAAAAAGGAATATATATACTTTATCCAATTGAGGTTTTCTATGTGTGAGCATCGACAAAATATCGAGAGTTTATCGGGCATCACGAGCCAATGCCATATGACTCCTATAACTAAGCTGTCCTATAACTTTTCTTTGTTAGACATGCTTCAGTTTAATTATGTAAAATCAAGCACAAGTTCAACGATGTAATATATTTTTCGAAAGATTGAGATAGAACTTTTAAGGAATTGTGAAACAGCAACAATCACGCCAATACTCGCTACAACAAAAATGAACTTTCCGTGATGATTTAATAATTTTGTTGTAAAAATTGATTTTGGCAAATTTTTTTACGACGTTTTTTAAAAAACATCGCAAAAAAGTATTTCCCACCAAATTTTTTGTAGCGCAAGAAAAATGGCGGGAGTTGATATTTTTTGCGACAAAATTTGTTTGTCGCGGATAGTTTACTTCGTCATCAAAAAAATTTTAAAAATTTAAAATAAAAATAAACTCAAAATATTTCATTCGCGACGTTTAATATTATTGTCGCCGAATATAAACTTTAATTAATATTAATTTGTGACGTTTTTAAATATTTTGTCGGGAATATTTATTTTTTCACGACGTTATTATAAATGCGTCGCAGAATATAATTTTTTTATTAAATAACATTATTATTTCGCGACGTTTTAATATTGGTCGGAAATTAGAATTTAATTTTCAATTAGAATTAAAATATTAATTGCGAAGTTTTTATTTTTGTCGCAAAAAATAAATTTTTCGTGACGATTTTATATTTTTGTCGCAAATAGAATATTTGACAGTTTTTTCGCCACGTTTTTAAAAAACGTCGCGAAAAAGTGATTCGCACCAAAACAATTTGGCGCGAGAAAAGGGCATGAATAGGTGTTTTTGCGCGACGTTTTTAGAAAGTCGATGCAGAATATAATTTTTATTTTATATTAAATAAAATTATTAATAATTTTCAATTTTAAATTATAAATTAGAATTAAAATATTAATCGCGACGTTTTTTGTTTGTCACAAAAAATGAATTTTTCGCCACGATTTTATATTTTTGTCGCAAATAGGGTATTTGGCATTTTGTGCGACATTTTTTAGCATACATCGCTAAAAGGTGATTCCCATCAAATATTTTTTTGCGTTAGAAAGGTCAGGAATATGTGTTTTTTCGCGACGTTTTTATAAATTCGTCAAAAAGTATAATTTTTATTTTATATTAAATAAAATTATTTAATTTTAAATTTTAAATTTGAATTAAAATATTAATTACGACGTTTTTTTTTTCGTTGCAAAAAATTAACTTTCTACGACAATTTCATATTTTTGTCGCAAATAGTTTATTTGGCAATTTTTTGCAACGTTTTTAGAAAACGTTGCGAAATGGTGATTCCCACCAAAATTTGTTGGCTCGAGAAAAGGGCAGGAGTTGAAAATTTTTTGCGATAATTTTTTTTTTGTCGTGGATAGTTTCAATTCTTCACAAAAAAAATAATATTGAATCAGAATCAAAATAAAGTCAAAATAATTAATTCCTGACGTTTAATATTATCGTCGCAGAATATATATTTTAATTGCTATTAAATAGCGACGTTTTTATTATGTTGTTGGGAATAGGTATTTTTTTGCGAGGTTTTTAAAAATTTGTCGTAGAATATAATTTTTATTTTATATTAAATAAAATTATTATTTCGTGACGTTCTAATATTGGTGGCAAATTAGAATTTATTTTGTAATTTTAAATTAGAATTAGAATATTAATTGCGAAATTTTTGTTTCGTCCCACAAATTGTACTGTCTGAGACGATTTAATAATTGTGTCGCAAAATGGTTTTGTTGTAAATGTTTTTGCGACGTTTTTAAAAAACGTTACGAAAACGTGATTCCTGAATAATTTTTTTTTGTGCGAGAAATGACGGGAATTGATAATATTTTACGAGAAAATTTTGAATTGAGAAAATTAATTAAAGTAATTAAAACAATATGAAAAATATTAGAGCATCAAATATCGGTTGATTCAAGTCACCAAATTAACAATAATACCACAAGAACACCTTTGTTTGTAATCAAAAGATTATTTAGGAATATGAATAATCATTCATTTATATTATTCTGTAAAATAATGATAATCAACTTAAGTATGAAATAATCAATTATTTGACTCGTAGGAAAATTCAAGCAATCAATGTACATGACATAATGACTCAAGAATTTTTACAGAGAAAAATTTTTGTTAAGAAATCAAAAGTTAAATTAACAAAATATCACATATCATTAAGCTCATAAGTCAATGACATTACTGTACTTCATTGAGAGGTCCTCCCTTAACCCTAGATAAACCTTTTAGTTGGACATGACAAACTAAAATCAAAATAAAAAGATGGGAAAAGAATAATCCTAATTATCCTCTCTCAATAGATGAGAGCCCTTATTTATACTAANCTTTTTAGTTAGACATGACAAACTAAAATCAAAATAAAAAAATGGGAAAAGAATAATCCTAATTATCCTCTCTCAATAGATGAGAGCCCTTATTTATACTAAAATAAATTCAAAGTATATATAAAAGATATAAGGTTGGTCTTGGAAGGAATTCTTTTTCAAAAATAAGTCTTGTAAGGTCAAATTCTGTGCATAAAATTTTTGGGACGCGAAAACAAAATTTGTCCAAATTTTGAACTTGAATTTCACATTTTTAAAGGTTGATTCACAAAATTTTTGTGATTACACTTTTGTAGCTTTTCTTCTTTCCAACTCCGCAAAAATCAAGTCAATCAGATATCGGAGTCAAAAGTTATGACCAAAATACTAAAGACGTGTCAAATCCTTATCTTTTAGGATACTTTCATAATTCAAATTTAAATGAATTTTCTTATAACTTGGACTTTTATAAGGATTAAAATTAGTGATATATCTTCAAATTTTTCTATCTCAATCATGACTCTTCAATCCTTATCAATTGTGATTCTTTCTTTAACGATTGTTTCATTTGTCTTATCCATTATTATTTTAAATAAACTAATTTACCTGCAAAATAAATTAAACAACTAGAAAAAAATATCAAACTAAAAAATCAAAAAAATTCACACATTTAACCACAAATAATATACAATTAACCAAATATTAAATATAGTAAAATAACAATTTTAATGGTTAATCAACACACACTACAAGACACAGCCCAAGATCATGGGGATGGGTTTAGACACCCTTAATAGACAATTACATAAAAAATCTTTATAAGTCTATATATTATTTTTTTTTCGTTTTTTCGTTTTTTCGTAAGATTAATATCACAATTAATGAGGTTAGTAAATATCACATCTAAGTAAAATTCAATCCGAGAGTTTACGATATAAATAGATAGATATCAATTTAACAAGAATATTTTGAGAAAATACATTAATAGATATCGGTAGCTGTCCGACCACGTGGCATATTTATATTGGATGCTTATCATAGACTACAGAAAACTTGGATATATATATCGAATGGAATAGTCACATTTTCAGACAACGATCTCATTGACTCAGTTTGATTGTCATTCCATAACAGGCTACTTTATATTCTAGTGTTGATGCGAGGTTGACCCTCCTCCCTAAGGAGGAATTCTTCAAAAATGGATCCTCAATAAATAGAGTGCCTTTGCAGATATGTTCGGCTTTGGTTTTCAAGGTGAAGAATTTGACTCTGACTAAATTGATTGTCCATGGTGTAATGGGCACAACCCAAATAACCCTTGGGTGTATATTATACTTTAGATTCAAGGCTATAAGACCATAAGGGTGATAACAATTTAGGGCTCTGACTGATATAGGTGAGAAATCTATACTCAAGTCACAAGTCCGATACTTCTTAGCAAACTCACCAGCACCAGTATCATATACTAAAGATTTCTGTAATGAAATCTTCACTCCTAACCGGCCTAATGAAGTATGGTATACTGAAGCAACCTCGTTGTCACATATTATAACACCATAACTAAGGACAACATATTTTATCAAATACACTGCCCATATGTACTTGTTGTGCACATCACCCTATTAATATCTGCCGGACTATCAAAAAAAGGGCAAACTAAAAATCGGGCTAACTCTATACCTGCGCAAAGGTCTAACCCTCTTCCTTACCTATGCTTATTATCGTACTTTTGTTTTCCCCAACTAGAGCACACAATCCCTAGTTGACGGTGGGGTTTGACTCTGGTCACATTGACGATGATGACAGGCTGTCATTCATGCACGCAACAGGCTATAATAATGAAACCTATGGGAAAATCTATTGGTTACCACTTCCTTTGTTCACGTGTGGATAAACTACGGAAATCTATCACCCAAAAAAAAGCATCAAGAAAGGTCAAGCATATATCTTTCATGAAATGATTAGCGGTTTCATTTATGCTATGCCCTGCATTGTGTTCGTGTGTATTTATTGAGCTTTCTTCACCTTAGCACCATGCCCTTTGCTTCATTTTATATAAGAGAGAAACCCTTATCTTGAGGGTGAAAAGCAAGGGCCTCTAGGAGTTCTGGCGAAAGATCTCCTTCTACGGACCTCTCTTATATACCAACTTATCATGCTGGGGTGAAAAAGGCCACAAAACAGATCTTTACCATAAATTTCTTGAAATCCATTATGTGGAAATGCAGTGATGTGATCTACCAAATACTCAGCTTATGACCAAGAAGGATAAGTTATGCTTCTCCGACTCTTGTTGAACCTTTTAATTAGATCTCTATAGAAAGAGGCAACTATTGCTACTTATACTCCAGTTTCCTACTCCGAACATAGCACGTTACCCCCCTTAATCCCCCTCGGGGAGGTCCCTGCTATGAGAGAAAGCTTGGTTTAGTTATATCATAAGTGACCATTGAACCTTACAGCGACTTGGAAGAAAAGACTCAAAGTCAATATCGAAATCTTAATCGTATAGTTCGATCACTTTTGGTAAACAGGCTGATAAGACCAGAAACTTAGTCTTGTTACGTGTATGTGTACTCCTGGGGGGAGCAATAAAATGAACCTTCTCCCTTATCTACAATTAGGCTTTTTTGAGGTAAGTTTTTTACGGTGATAGTGTTAACTGTTACAAAAAACATGTTTTGGAGAGAATTTTTTTTTTGGCTATATCGTTGTCATATATAGTATTTGAAATGGATCATTGCCGCCACAAATTTTTTTTAAGATTCTAGTTATTACAACAAGGTGTTGTGATAGTAAGTCTCACCATAATATAAAAATCTTTTTGGCGGCAATGATTGTCACAAATAGTATTTGCGATAACAAATAAATTTTTTATGATAACACTATCGTTACATTTTTTTTTTTCTCCAAAACACTTTTTTTTGTAATGGTGTACACTATCACCTCAAAAAACTTGTTTCAAATGACTCTAATTTTTGTAGTAACATGAAAATGTATAACATTTGATGTGTACAATTTTTTTTTTGCAATATACAACATTTTATGTGTTATATACACTACTTGACACTGCTAGGGTGGTAACAGAATATTTTGTCAGAAGGATATTACATGACATAACGGATTTAGTACCTTGTTAAAATTCATTTATAAATTCCATATCAAAATTTATTTATATGAGCATAATTTTATTTAGTTGATTTATAATTATTAATTAAAAATAATTAATTTTTTTACACGTGTTATGTTTTATTGGACGATATTATACTACTTAAATATTAATATTTAGTACCGTAGTTAAACCCAGTCCCAAATAAAATTATTATTAAGTTGTTGTAATCATAGTTCCCTCAAAAAAAAAAAAAAAAATATTGCTGTAATAGTCTGAAAGAAAATGGCAGACGTCTCCTTAAATTTTCTGGGTATAACTTGTTAGGTTGTGTGTTCTCTCTCTCTCTCTTCCATGGTAGTGATTGACGTGAGTTAATTTACGTGCATTAATTATCTTTTTTTTTTATTTGAAGACAAGTCATCTACGATAAAACTAAAATATTTATGAAAAATTTATCTTTCATGATCTGATCCTAAAGAATTCTCAATGTGATAACAAAAGAAGAGTTGTCATATTCAAATCTTTGTTACTATTTGAAACTTCCCTTGAGGTTCTCTCTCGGGATGCTGGTGTTCTATACATTATTCTCTCAAAGTTTTATTTTTCCTTTTTGGCAGTTATTTCTTCTCGCACCATTGGGAATTAAGAAATTACACTTGCCATGTATTATATGAAATTTTTTAATAATTAGGTACATTACTCTAAAAAATTGTGCTTAATTGCTTTTTGTAGCTAAAAACAATCCTTTGATGTGACTCCATAAGACTATAGCCCACACATACCTTTAGGTAAACGACTATGGTATCGATTTTTTTTTTTATATCACATTAAAAATTGTTATTATTGAGGGTTGATTTACACCTTGTAAATAACAGGCTACAATTATTCATAATTGATCATGTTTTTTTTGTAATGTATTATATTATATGATTGATTATCATCAGGAGCAGAGCCAAGAATTTGGCTAAGGGTGGACAAAATGTAACTAGAAAAAAATTACTAGTTAAGACATATAAATTTTAAGTTCAAACACAAAAAAAAAAAAAAAAATTCAAGATTAAACTAATATATGAATCAACTAAACTAGTTTTCATTTAGCCTACACTAAATTTGAATAAAAAATAAGACAACGTATACATTTTTAAAAAAAAATTAGAGGGGGCAAATGTAATAAATTGAACAAAATTTTTATTTCTAAAAAAAAATTAAAACTTAACCTTTAAACATTCTAGTTTCGTTTGTTCATAATTTTTTGACTTATAATTTAGACTTAAAAAATTATAATTATTTATACTGTACAAAATGAGTTATATATTGGGTGTAACAGTGATACTACGCCACTATTGTTTTGTGGTGTTACCATCTAATAACAAATGTATAAGTGGATAAAGTGAACCCTACTTCTTTACACATTAAAATTATTTTTATACATGGAGATGGTGGGGTTTACTTGCTTACAAATTGGTTTATTATTGATTGGTTACACTATGTAATAATAGTGATGTGATGTTACCGTTATTTTCAATATTTTATCCAAAAAAGATGTCTTATGGCCTAGATAACACAAATCGTTGATAGGGCTCAATAAATTTATGCTTGCCTCGTAATTTTTTTGTGTATCATATATATATATATATATATATATGTATGCTTATATAGATCATGAATCAATATAAACCAGGCCCGCAACGGATGGTGCACCCTCACACTTCAACCAAAGGAGATGTTCGATATTTTGAGTAAAGTTATTCTAAGTATCGTCTAATAGAATAATAGGTTGTATAAATGTGATAATTGAATCGTGTCTTAAAATATTTGAACTTCGCACCAACTTTTCATGATATTTGATTGAAATGACTTTTGGCCCATGGTGGAAAGGTTACCTGTTTCTATAACAACTTTTAATTTTATATTTTATCCATAATTATTATGATAAAATAAATTATACCAACCTATATATTTCCATCTAGTTTTTATTTTTTACTCTCATTTAACTTTCAACTTATTTTAAACTCTTTTATAAAGCCTTGTAAATTATGTTAAACGTATTTATTAATAGTATAGTTACATACAATTTTTTATATCTATTTGAAGAAATAAAAATCATATATATGTTAAATTATTATACACATATGTTAAATTATTATACACATGTAGTTACCAAATTAAATTTTACGCTTAATTATATGTTATATTTATTTTTTGGTATGTAATAATATTATAATGTTATAAGTGATCTAATTAATCTATTTAACAAAATAAAAAAGAGATTCTTAAATAAATGACATATTAAGTACTCAAAAACTTATAAAATAAAGAAATAATTAAATTTAATATTAATTAAAATACGGATTAATTATTCGACACTTAATTTTTTATTTAATTTCAATTACACGTATAATTCACATTTATAAAAAAATATTGTTTAAATCCTAAAATGAGTAATAATACTGGAGCAAGTAAATCAAGTCATCGGATTAGATGTCATTTGAACTGCTTGCTCCTTTGAATACCCCCATGCCGGGGGATGGCTATTGCTCTCTTCCATCAGATTCATCTCCGTCTCTTCACGTTGTTCTGTTTCCATTCATGTCGAAAGGCCACGCCACCCCACTCCTCCACCTGGCTCGCCTCCTCCTCCACCGCTACATCCCCGTCACCATCTTCACCACCCCAGCAAGCCGTCCCTTCATCTCCAAGTCCCTCTCCGACACCACCACCGCCTCCATCATCGACCTCCGTTTCCCGGAAAACATCGCCGGCGTACCCCCTGGCGTCGAAAGCACAGACAAACTCCCCTCCATGTCTCTCTTCGTCTCATTCGCCACCGCCACCAAAAAGATGAAACCCAGCTTTGAAAAAGCTCAGAAGAGTCTTTAGTATGTCACTTTCATGGTAACCGATGCATTTCTCGGCTGGACCCTAGACTCAGCCTCCAATTATGATATCCCACGGCTGGTGTTTAACGTCCTGGGCAACTTCTCCATGACCTTGTCCCGACTGGTGGTTGTGAATCGGGTTCAATCGGAAACTGACTCGGCCGATGAGTTATATATGGTGACCGACTTCCCAGGGATGAAGCTTACAGCAAAAGAATTGGGGCCAGCGTACACAGACCTTGAAGCAGAGGGTCCTTATTTGAAATTCGTGTCAGAGATGGTCAGAACGTCGTCAAAAAGCTTTGGTCTAATTGTAAACGGCTTCTATGAGCTTGAGCCGGTGTATTTTGATTACTGGAACCACCGGTTTCAACCCAAAGCACGGTGTGTTGGACCACTTTGTCTGGTTGAGCCACCGAGGGTCGAGTCCGAAAACTATCATAAACCACCATTTATGCTGTGGCTAGACCAAAAGCTAGCTCATGGAAAATCAGTTCTTTACGCTGCATCTGGGTCTCAAGGAGAATTTTCTTCTGAACAGTTTTGAGAGATCAAAATTGGATTCGAAAAATCACAAGTCAATTTTTTGTGGGCGGTGAGAAGAACTCAATCCGATTCTGATCTTAGTGACGATGGGTTTGAAGAGAGAGTGAAAGACAGAGGATTGATAGTGAGAGAATGGGTTGATCAGAGGGAGATTCTGGGACATGAGAGCTTTGAAGGGTTTCTGAGTCAATGTGGTTGGAACTCGGCGATGGAGAGCCTATGTGCAAAGGTTCCGAAGCTGGCGTGGCCGATGATGTCGGATCAACCACTTAATGCGAGGTTGGTGGTGGAGGAGATCAAGATTGGTCTGAGGGTGGAGACATGTAGTGGGTCTCTGGGTGGGTTAGTGAAGTGGGAAAGTTTGGAGAAGATGGTAAGAGAATTGATGGAAGGAGAGATGGGGAAAGATGAGGAAGAAGGTGAAGGAAATAGGTGAGGCGGCCAGTAAAGCTGTGGAAGAAGGTGGGTCGTCCTGGAATATGTTAAATGAGCTCATCGATGAGTTACATGCAAAAAGACACCCATGAAACCTTTTGTTTTACAAAGCACTTCTCATAAATTATCTGCAAACATATCTTCTCGTTCCCTCTTCTCCCACCAAAACCCTTCCTCTTGAAACCAACCCATTTCTTTAGGGTGTAATTCTGACGGGTTGAAAGGTCAATTCTAATTCAACTCTATGTATATAATTTTTAATTTTAATTCTAACCCTAACTCTAATACTATCTCAACTTGAGTATTGCCCGAATTTAATTTGGACGAGATCGGATTGAATTCGAGTTAATTTCAAGTTAAAAATTGAGTTAGACTTGAATTACTTAATTTGGGTTATTTTTTGAAGTGTATATTTAATTTTTTCAAGTATAGATATAATTTTTTTAAGCGATATGAGATGAAGGACAAGATGCAAATGAAGAGAGAGGGAGTGAGAGAACGACGAGTAAGAAAGGGAGGTTGAGAGTCTGAGACAATTCAGATGAATGACGATTAAGAGAGGGAGGAGTGACGAGTGAGAGAGATATGAGAATGATGGAGGTGCAAGGACGAAGATTTAAAGTAAAATGAAAGTATGCACTCTAAAAAGTGAAGATAAATACTAACTCTATTTAAATATATTTATATATATTCGGATTCAACACGATTTTAATATTCAGGTTGAACCCGACAATCCGAGGCTTGTCCAAATTCAATTTTAATTAGAATTTTTTTGCCCAAACCTAACCCAAGGATTAAAATTTTTAACCTAAGCTCTATTTTTTTTGGGAACCCTGAGAACACCCCCCCCCCTCTCTCTCTCTCTCATTTGTAAATTCCACCTACTTTGATAACATCATCTCAGTACGAATACTCATGTTTAGTTTTAACGGTTTGTTTGTTTGGGGAATTGATTATGAGTGGTATTAGAAATGATATTCATTCCACTCCTATCCAGTGGATTACTACTATATTTTATACTTATATCTCATCCTCCCCTGGTTTTTTTGTTATAAAAATTATTTGTGTGGACCTATCAAAAAGGTGTGTCATGAACTATTCATTTAAAAAGACAATTGTAACTTAAAAAGTGCCTAGAGAGAATTTGTATCATTTTTCTTACTTGTACCATTGATGGCTTTATACCAGCAAACAATACCACCTAATAGGTGGTATTCATTAAGGTCATGTAAAAGGGTTAAAGGATAATGTACAAACCAGGTCAATAATCCGAAAAATAGTATTGCACATAATATATGAACCAAACAAAGTAAAAGATAAGCCCCAAGTATTATTTCTTGCTATCCCACCCAATAATACCACTAAAACCCACAAACAAACCCCAAGTGTATCCATTAAATAAGATGTGAGAAAATATATACAAACTAGCATGCACCCTAATCAGAAAAATGTAGAAGATTAGTAATCTGGTGTACTATTTTTAGTTAGAATAACCGGAATGCGACATGGACAACTTTCACAGGCAAAGACTAACCCATTGAACTCTTCCCAGAGAGCCCAAGATTCATTTTTCTTAAAAGTGTCTGAAACTCAAGGAACTGCATAATCTGCAGTAATTACCAGATAAATAGAAGTTAATTGAAGCAAAAGTGATTCAGTGAGTCGAAGATGACAGCCTTTGAGCAACCTGTAGCTTCAACTTATTCAGAAAGCCACATGAGAGTTGAAGAGTAGGAGGACAAATTACTTCAAGAATTTCAGTATTTGGAATTTCCTACCTACGGAATTTGATACCTGGTTTCTCATTTCAGCCGTCCAAACAGGCCATAGTTCTCACCACCATGGACAAAAGTTGGAACGAAGATAGATACCCGGGGAGAGCCCAATTTGCAGTAATGAAAAATCTTTCCTGAGACTGACTGGAAAAATTATAATCTCTCCCAGGGATGCCAAGAATGTCAATGGAGTCGAGCATAACGGACGATACCAGTGTCTTCGTAATAGGGAACCCCCAAGGACCTCAAGTCGTATGCCAAAGTTATATAATATAGCTGCCAAAGTGAAGACACAAAATAACTTGGTGGCTCCCATTGCACAACAATTTTTTTGCAGAAATTATCAAATTGAACCCCACATATATGAAACTCGAATTAGATGCCCTGCACCTTGCAGCAAGAAGCAACTCCAAAATCTGCTTTTCTCACTGAAGGCTCAGCTACTAATGATGTAGAACGAGATCGCCAATATTTATATTTACATTTATAGTTTATTTTATTATTTTTAAAATTTAGAATTTAATTAGAAATATAATTAAATAATTAGTTGCCTAAAACATGTCAATTTTTCTAATTCATTGGACATGTTTTTTATTTGTGTTTAGTAACTTTCTTAAGACTAGAGATTTTCCATTTTGAAAGCCTTCAGGAGTTTGGGAATTCCTATAAATTGAATCAATCAATTGAATAATATCATATTTTGAGAATTTTCTTTTTCTTTTCTCACTTAGGAACAGTGATCTCTTTGTGTTTCTCGTTTACAGTTGCATCAACTAAGCAGAGAGAGATGGCTTCCTCTCTTGCTTCCACACCCTCGTGTAGTTCTGTTTCCATTTATGTCTAAAGGACACACCACTCCAATTCTCCACCTTGCCCGGCTCCTCCTCCACCGTCCTACAGTGGGTCACCATTTTCACCACCCCAGCAAACCATCCGTTCGTCTCTCAGTCTCTCTTGGAAAGTGATGTTTCCATCATTGGCCTTCCCTTCCCCGAAAACATAGCTGGAATTCCCTCAGGTATTGAAACTACTAACTGCCCATGTCCCTCTTCATCCCATTCCTCAACATGTCAGCTTAATCCTATCTAATGTCTGTCTAAGCTGGAACCTCTAATCAGCAACAAATTTTGGCATTCCATGGCTGTGTCCCAAGATGCCTTTGTAACCGGGGTTATTCAGAACCAGAGTTAAATGATGAGCCATTTGCTCTGATCAGTTTCCCTTTGATCAAACTCAATTTGAGGCAAGAGGCACCTTTTAATGAACGTATACCAAAGAGTCCTTTCATAGACTTGCTCGCAGGACAAGAAATAGCAACATCAAATAGCTATGGTTTGATTTTGAACAGCTTCTATGAGCTTGAAGGAGTGTACTTGGCCTACTGGAACCATTAGTGCAAAACTAAAGCATGGAGTGTTGGACCACTATGTGGCAGAGTCGCCAAAGATTGAACTCCAAACCCAGCAGAAACACAAGTGGGTGGAGTGGCTCGACCAAAAGCTGGCCCAGGGAGGCTGAGTCCTCTATGTTGCATTTGGTTCTCAAGCAGAGATTTCACTGGAACAGTTACGTGAAATAGCCATCAGCTAGGAAGAATCTAAAGTGAATTTCTTGTGGGTGGTACAGAAAAACAACAGAGAACTTGTTGACGGCTTGAAGAGAGGGTGACAGGGAGAGGAATGATATTCAGAGATTGGGTTGACTAGAGGGAGATTTCTTAAAGTGCTGCAGGGGTTGGATTTTCAGTTGGTGCATACATTTAGGGAGGCGAATGGAGTGGCTGACTGTCTGGTGGACAAGGGTGCTGTTCTGCGAAGGACTTCTGCAGAATTTTCTGTTCAAAGTGATTTGCCCAGACCTGTGAAGGCGTTATTGGTGCAGGACCAGTTAGGTTTTCCTACGGTAAAGAAGAGGATTCGGTTGATGCATTCTTTCCCCCTTGAGTACACTAATGGTACTGTTTGAAGCTAGGGGTAAGCTGTAATGTGGGCTTTTTGGTAGGAAGGAGGCAGCTGCTGTGGGTGATGTTTTTGGGTACCTGAAGAAGAGTCTTTGACATATTGTCATGTTTTGAAGGATTAAAACCACTCATTGTGTGGTGCGTTTAGGGATTTGTACCCTTTTGTTTCTTGTAATTCTTTGATTCATCCAATAAAATTCTTTGTTTTCTTAAAAAAAAAAAAAAAAAAAAAAGATTAGAGGGAGATTCTGGGACATCAGAGCGCGTAGGGATTTTTGAGTTATTGTGGTTGGAACTCAGTGTTGGAGAGCATATCTGCAAATTTTCCAATACTAGCACAGCCATTGATGGCTGAGCAACACCTAAATGCAAGGATGATAGTGGAGGAGATCAAGTTTGGTCTAAGGATTGAGACATGCAATGGGTTTGTGAATAGGGAGAGTTTGAAGAAGATAGTGAGGGAGTTGATGGACGTAGAGACGAGGCAGCAGGTGAGAAAGATGATGGAGGAGGTTGGCGAGGCAGCAAGGAAGGCTGTGAAAGAAGGTGGATCATCTTGGCACACATTGAACCAACTCATCGATGAATTACATTCCCAAATAGGTGACTTGACTGCTTTGCACTCCACTCCCAAGCTCCTTTCTAGCGAATTTGTATCCATAAAATTCTTCTTTGAGTTTATAGGATCTCTGTAAGAGAAGTGAAAGAAATGAAGCACTTGATCTGCTTATGTTTAATAGTTCTTAAGTAGTGGCTTAGTAATCATTAACGCACAAGGCACGCCTCAATTGAAGGTCCTTATGTGAAGTATTTACGTTTTATAATAAAGTAAATAGAGGAAAATGTAAACATATGAAAGAAATCATATGCATGGAAGTGGAACTCAAACATATGATCACAATGTTATAATATTACACTAAGCTCTGTTTAAAGTCATACATTTAGTTTTGTTACCATAACAACCAATATCAATCACATTCTACTGAATTTAGAATCATGTTTATATTTTAATCCTGTAAAATAATTGTAAATAATTATAATGTCAACAATGTCTAAACTTCATCATCATTATCATCATCAAGTCATGTTAAATATATGATCTGAGTTGCATTTGTAACATGCAATTCTATTGAAATTTGTGTTTGACCAAGTTCTGGTCAATGCTTTTCTCATTGATTAACAAGTTATTTCTTGATGGTTTCGCAGCAAACACCAGTTTGACTTGTCTCAGAGAAATTGAATCGCTTTTGTTTGGTAAAGCACAACTACTATTCAAAGTAAAACTTATGTCGATGGGCAGGATCATATCCGAGGAATCATACTAACAAAAGCAAAACTTCCGGGCTTCACAAAGTAGCATTGAGCACCAAAATACTTGAGTCCACAAATTGACATGACAAAGCAATGATAATATTGACTACAAAGGAAGATGGTTTACATTGCTTAGCTCTTTCAAGTGTTGTTGCCCAGTCCACCTCCCTTATCTACTCAGCAATAAGGGATCATTGGCATCATCGTCATGCCAATCATCTTCCCATTGCGGGGCTGTTTCTTTTCCTTCCTTTTCATCCCACTCTGCCATAACCCATTAAATGTAGCATTCAAATTTTAAGCCAGGAGGGAAAAAAAAAAACAGATGTCGCAGGAAAGCGGAAGAAATTCTGCGACATTTTTCAGATCAATGTAAAGGTAGCAGTCTAAAGAACATAAATTCAATTAAATATTTTGATTTTTTTTCTCGCTTAATTTTATTTTTTTCATAATAAGCTCTTAGTCACGATCTCTAATTATAGTTATGCACCCTTCATCCTCAGCATTCAAAGGAAGCCAGAAACCATTTTCAGACTTCACGATGGTAAATGGGAAACATAGTCAACCACACCATTTCTTCCCCAAAATAAAAGGGACTTCAAATTATCTTCATTATCAATTTGTGCATGTCATGCGCACACCGTGTGCAAGGCTAATCTTCTCTATATCATTTCAGTTTTATCTGATGTCTCCGAATGAACAATTATCTTCATTATCTTACCCTCAAATTCAGTAAAATTTTCAGAATTTAGATATATTCATAAAATTTAACGAAAAGAATCCTTCAAGGACTGAAAAGGAAAAGAACCCAAAACAATCTACCTTAGATTGATCTCAAACTCGTTATCGTGGTCAAACAAATCACTCTTTGCGGCTTTTGTTGCCACCTTAGGATCCTTCTCCGTCCTGAGAGCTCACTACAACCTACATTGATCCTTAGTCAAGCCTATTTTTTTTCCTGAACAAATATCAAAACCCTAAACCTAACTTGGGGTGAATCACATACATGAATGGAATCGAATACCACAGTTAGTGATTTCTAGGATAAATAACGAAAGACAGATAACACTTACAATTCAAAAGAGGGAATCAGAAAGCGTTTTACTTTGCCTCTTTCGATTTTGCAAAATTCCAACCGACAAAAGGAGTGTTTTTTCAGAAATTCCAACAAACATTCTTTGTAGATCGCTAAGAATAATTAAATAGTAAAAAATAATTTATCTTAATGACATAATTAACAAGATTAGAAGATAGCCAATGACATAGAATAGTAACATTTAGAAGAAATTTATTGTATCATTTCAACATAAAGACATAAAAGTGAGACAGTGGCATAAGACAATATCCCCTTGATGTTGCCAACTCAAATGTATATGTATACGAAGAGGAGCTTCATACAAAGAAAGTAAGACTTATTCAGACAAGCATCTTAACGTTGAAATTGATTGATCTGGGCCGGTGATGTTCTCGTATTGCAATCCTTAAAAAAAAAAAATGAAATTGAACAGTAAAATTTCAATGTCATTGTTTTACGTTATTGTCATTGTTCTATGCCACTGTTTATTGAAAAATTATTTTTTGAATAAAAATAATTAGAAGAACCAATGTGACGGTGTTTTTTATTTTGCCTGGGATCATTGTCCAAACAGACTTCGCCTTGCTGAAGGATATAGGAAAAGTTACATCAATCATTTTCGAGCAGTAAGCTGTTCATTGGTACTAGCTGTGTGTTTATCCTTTATTCCAGCTGCAATGGGATCTATCTAAAACTTTTCCAGATTTTCCCATCACATCACATGTTAGATCGAGAATATTTTTATATCACGATATTCGAGTTGGAGTATCATACGAGTGGAGACGGGTATTAATCGAGGTCAAGTTTGCCGAGTCTAAATCTATTTTTGTTTATTATAATTGTATCTGATTGAGATCACGTCGAACTTGACTATAATCTAAATTTTTTGAAAGTTAATTCAATAGAAGTTTACGAACGATCGTGCCAAAATTGCACTTAATTACTTAACAAAAAGAAATAATTACTCTATTATTTATTCAAACAAGCATAGTTGAGTCAATTATTCACAAATAAACTTAAAAATTTGATCAGATCTGATAAATTTTACAATTTGAATAATCTTGCAAGAATAAAAAAAAGCCTGAGATTGATCCCGACACTCATTATTTTGGTTTAAATTCAAATGATTAATAAAAACAAAAATCATTGGGAAATTTTTATTTGCACCTTATTACCAATTTCAGACATTGATTATGACCATGGTTTCGGTTATGACAATGTCTCTCTTTAGCATATTCCTCAGCACTTTGCAGCCGTAAGTGACAAAATCAAAAGTAATTCTGCCTTTTTTGGATTTATTAATTTCATGGTTTTTAATAATGCCCGTCATTTTCAGTTTCAAAAATAAGGGTAAATCTTGTTTTGTGTCTTAAAAGATATAAAAATTTTCAATTTATCCTTTTCAAATAATTAATTTTTTCACATTGTTTATAAAAAAAATAAAAATATTATAATATGATTTACCGTCTTATTTTTGTTTGGTTAATTTGGTACAAAACAGACGAACAAGTCAATAAAAATAAGACGATAGACTATATTACAACGTTTTTATTTTTTTGAGGGACGGTATGAGAAAATTAATTATTTGGTGGAATAAATTAAGAATTTTAATATCTTTTAGAAACAAAATGAGATTTTTCCCAAAGGTAATAATTATTATTATAATGGCCATCATTTGACCATCAGTACCTGTCATTAAATGAATCGAATAGCCAAAATAAACAAATGAATAAAAGTTACACAACCTATGTGAAAACATTTGTCATTGTTATTTGATTGGCCGGCATGTTCTTTTTGTTTCTATCGTAATTGAAACAAAATAATTTTTATATATTTTCAACTATTTATATTTCCATCTGACGGTGTATCCAAACCATGCCATAGCATTATTTTATTTAGAAATAAATATGGTACCAAAATATATAATTAAATAAATATTAGTTACAACTCGTTTGAAATCAATTTCTGATCCCCAAAAATCAGTTCTGACGTTCGACTCAATAAGGTCAAGTTACTACTTAAAAAAAAATTAAAATTAATCTAAAATTATAAGGGTTGATTGTGAAATATCCAGATCAATCTCAAAAAAATTCATTTTATTGGTAATCTAATAAGATTAAAGTATTGTAATAATTTTATGTACAATACTTTATAATATTTTTTCGGTAGCATAAACGTGCCCTATTTATAATCAGTTACCATCATTTGAGAATCCAAAATGTTCTCTGAGCTGCAAGACATCTCAAACTCAATGTCCATCTTCCAATCATTTGCTTCCAGTAGTATATACCCATGTAAAACCAACAGACATTCCTCTCTATTCCCAACTGATCAAAGCCCTTTCTGCTATGTTTGCATAAACAAACACATTTTCAGTATGTTCATCAGAAGATGCTCAATCAAATTTCAGGATCCCTTATAGTTTCAAGAACTCAAACCTCAAAAATACAACTCGATTTCTATCTGTCAAAGTGTTCTCCCTGGGGGTGGCAACCTTAACCCGTAACTATATACAATGCACAGTCATAGATGGCATGGGACTAAATGTCCAAAACTAGTTATAGAAATATACATAATCTTCATTGTGATCACTCTTCAAAAATTTGTTGGTTCTCAGCAGTCTGCAACTGATTGCATACTTAACATCAGAATCCCGTCATCCCTGTACAATTCGAGCAGTGAATTGGGACATTGGGGATGGTTTCTGAACAAAGACTCTTGTGCAGGAGTATTTCAAGAGTACCTTTATTCACTGGGGCTGAGAGCTAATCAAACAGGACAAATATACTTAAATTCCACCCAGCAGAGGAATTGCTTGACCATGCTGAACAATACCCAGGTAGAAGTTATGGGCTGTGGGATTCAGAAGCTAACGAGTGGCAGTGGTGGCTGTTCAGATTTCTCTGTTGATGATGCGATGGAAAAGTTGGGAGGAAAATTTCGGAACTTAAGGAAGAACTGTGAACCTCTGAGCTCAGATGGGAAATGGGATCAGACGTGTGAATCCTGCATTAAGAGTTGGGAAGACATAAAAGGACTACAATCATATGGTGGCCAATCTGCAGTAGAATCTGATATATGTAGGCTTGCAGCGTTAGTGTCATTAACAAGTGCTAGGATTGATGATGAAATATGGGTGGAAAATACATACAAATGCCTCGGGGAGCAACACAGTGACGAAGGTAAGTAGCTCAAGGGAACATAAAAGGCTTTTCTTCAGTATAAATATGTACACTACTTGCACAACAACTCTGTACTGAAGGTGCATACTCTGGTGACATATATGCATAGGTAACTCCATCTAATTATCCAGATAATACTAATTTTTTCCAGTTCCCTGCAGATTATGAAGCAAAAAAGGTTACAGGAAAAAAGAAATTTACCTCAGGTGATTCATCATAAAATACAACATTTCAGTACTGCTTATGCTTAACATATGCACATTGTCCGGAATATATTTTTCTCTTACCATGAAAATTGACATGGTGACAGGCTTATATCTTTTAATCGGAGGCGTTACAGTGATTGCAGTTGCAGTGACCATCTTTATATGGATCTTGTCACGAAGATGGTGTAAATCAAATGTGCCAGTGGAGAAGAAAGGTATTTCTGAATGTTATTTCATACTCCCATGCAGGACTCTAAAACAACAACACTTAATAAATGTACCTCATTTACTTGACAGTATCGAAACGAAAGCTACTACTGAAGGCATCCGGATATTTGAAGGTCTCAATAAAGGAGGTGTACTCAGCCACAAACAATCTCAATGAAGTAAACTTCATTGGTGAAGGAACAGCGGGTGAGTATCTACCTAAGATAAATAAAGCAGAATACGGGGAATCAAGGCTAACCGCACCAACATTTTAAGGATGGAAATAGGCAATATTTTAACAATTAAATTGTCACAATCACCAACACTACTATCATTATCTTCATCATTATCATCATCATCCTTATGGGCTTCTCACTACAAGTTGGGGTTGGCAACTCATTTTGATCTGCCTAGTCACTCTGCCTTAAAGCAACTTTCATAATTTATGGAGCTCTTTCCTATTTTTAATCTTTTATTCGCAAACGTGTCACTGTTTTGTCTAGTTCTTGAGAACCTTTCACCTGGGCCCTATCATCAGATCTAGTGAGCAATCACTTGCTTATGTCCTTTTTTTCTGGCTACTGTTTAATTTTCCCTGTTGCTCCTTATTATTGGTTCAGTTGCGATTTGTTTTTGTCAGAAACTCATTTCTAGTTTCTTGTCCTGGTTCATCCTAACATTTTCCATAATATTATGCCCAGATTTCAATCATACTTGCCATCGTTCAATTCTTAGTTGTCCAAACAACATAGAATCACCATGAATGCAAACAGTGTAGAAGATGAAATGAGGATTAGAACCATAGCATCAGTATTCTATTGCCATAACAGTGCCAAATGCATGATACTGGATGACGTGTAACCCATGACCATTGTGTTTGTCCATATTCATGAACATCAAAACTGTATATGGACTATCATGCTAAAAATGCAAGAGATTGTAGTTTCATATAAGCTATTTTACCGTGATATCAGGAAAGGTGTACAAAGGCATGCTTTCAAATAACCAGCATGTTGCAGTGAAGCACATCATCAATGACGGATGTGTAGAGACATTTCTGAGGGAAGTTAGAAGCCTATCACATGTCAGACACCCAAACCTAGTGGCTTTGCTCGGTTATTGTGAAAACAAAGATGAATGTTTTCTCATTTATGAACTTTGTCCCAATGGGAACCTCTCAGAATGGCTTTTCGGTATGATATTCTGTGTGTGTTAGAGTTTTCCTCTTTGTTTGATCCCTAAATTTCAGTAAGGACATATGAATCAAAATTGATACAAAACAGCGAAGAATGAAGTCCTATCCTGGATTCAAAGGCTTGAGATTGCAATTGACAGTGCTCGAGGACTTTGGTTTCTTCACACATATCCTGAAGGATGCATTGTTCACCGTGATATCAAGGTCTGTCCCAACAAAATACCCCTCTCAATTCTCATGCCTAATCAATGTACAGTTCTTTCTCAAGTTTTTTACCTATGCTTACTATTATCAAAACAATGTAGAAAAGAAGAGAAGAAACCAGTAAAATGGTTTGTCCTTTTTGTTGTCTACGATTAGTTGTAGTTCTGGACATCAAATTGAGAAGAGGATTCAAGTCAATGCCATATTTTTGTTAGTAATATCTTGTTTTCATGTCATACATCAAGATGGTATTTTATAAAGCAGAATTTGATTAACAAAGCACATGTAAACACAAATATAAGAGGTTCTAAACTATTAAGTTGCCCTTTTCTCTTTTTCAGCCAACTAACATACTCCTAGGGACAAATTTTGATGCCAAGCTCTCCGACTTTGGATTGTCCAAGGTTATTGACGTTGGTGAAACACACGTGAGCTCAGAAGTGAGAGGCACTTTTGGTTACGTTGATCCCGAGTACCAGAAAAACCATCAAGTAAATTCAGCGGGTGATGTCTACAGCTTTGGAATAGTACTGCTACAGATACTCTCTGGAAGGAAGGCTCTAAGTATGAACACAAAGAATCCAATGCCATTAGATAAAATGGTAATAACTACCCGCGTATCTTTTCTATTCTTCAATTAGCTTTTGATTGCACTTCAAATGTTTAATCATTTGTCTTACTGGTTGCCTAGGCAAAATCTCTTACTAGGGATGGCAGCATAGTAGACTTTGCTGATCCCAAACTTCATGGAGAGTACTCGGTGAACGCTTTTGGTCTTACATTTCAGCTAGCTCTGTCATGCACTATGCTTAAGCAACAGCGACCATCCATGGAGCAAGTTGTTGTAAAACTAGAAGAGGCCCTTGACATATCAACAAAGGAGAAAGCTCTTACTCCTCATACCACGCCAGACTGGTCTTACAACTCCCTAAAAGAGAATTCTTGAGCAAATTTTCATCATGCTATAAAGAAACAACTTTCGCATTTTTTTGGTACTTGCAGCAAACATCTCTTTTGCCCCATGTAATAAACAAGAATGACAAATGCTGCCAAAAATCTCTAGCTAATGGCTTAATTTCAGATTCTCCATATCTAGAAACAACAAAATAAGAATTTGTTTTTCAGTAAGAGACTGCAACAAAATAAGAATTACAATACTTCTATAGAGCTAGTATATTATTTCCATCAAATGCCTAAAGGAATAGACTGACACAGATAAAGGTCACACCTCATGGAAAAATTGTTCTCATCAATATATAAAGAGATCCAATAAAAAAAAGGGAGACGCTGTTCTACAGATAATGTTCAAATGCAGTCCACTATTATACAGTTCAAATGCAATCATAATAGTGGCAGTCTGTGGAAATGGAAACTATTACATTGTTCTAAAGATAATGCTTTATCTTGATTTATGACTGACCTTAGCCTAACAATAACAAAACCCAATTTTAGCCAAAAACAGGGACGATAGGCAAAATTTGGGATATATAAAAAAGCGGAATTTTGGTGTCCTGACGTGGGACTTTGACATGAACACATATCCCTTAGATACAGGATGAACATGAACTATATAATGGACCTTTACATTGTGTCATCACGCGCTTTGCTTACAGCTTGACCATTCCCTTTTCTCTGTTCTGAGGAAGCCAAGAGTCAGTTTACCTTTAGAGGTAGAATTATCTATTCCCCAGACAAAAAAACCTTTTCCCGTTTCTTTTGTCCAATGATTGCATGGGCTCTATTTCATGATCAAAGAAACCATATAGAATGTATTCATTTTTTCACATCTTCATCTAGACTTGAAGTCCTCAACCGCTCTTCAGTTGTGCCTTTTTGTCCTCTTAACTACCTCATCTAGATAAGGCCTTTTATTTTTTTTTTTCTCGAGCGCTTCTGGTTATTCCCTATAGGGATTTTTTGCAGTCTGATTATAGAATTATTTCCAACATTTATAGAAGCAAAAATACACCATTAAGATTATCGTGGTGAAGTCTATGCAATGATAGAGCTAAAGAGACAAAGAGGGAAACCGCTCCCCAAGGTTACAATCTGTGAAATATATAGTATATGCAATTTGACACTTACAAAGGGTTTCCAAAATCTTCTTCACTTTCACAACTGTCCCCCCACTAACGAGTTTGTCCCGTCACTCTAATTCTTAAACCCATCCCTGATCACATGGTACACAATCATTAAAAGTGAAAACAATTTTGTTCCAAGCAGTGTAGGATATCACAGGCAAACAATTTTTCATTTTTGCTAAGAACCCATTATGATACCATCATTGGGATGGTTTACTGTACGTGCACACGCAATATAAAATAAAATTTTGTTAGAATTTGTTATACTATGTTTTGTAAGTGAAATTTTTTGTATCAGTATCCAAAATAAAAATTCTTTCATGTCTATGGAATCAAAACAAACAATACAGCACTAACAAATATACAATTGATAACGAACCATGGAAAAATAACCCTAACTAACCTCTCATTAGCTTCTATCTTTATTTTCTGATTGATTATGTTTCCTATACTTGCTATCCGTCATCTTGGTATGCAGAGAAATCAGGCTCATCGGGCTTAATCAATTGAGGCATCTTTAGGCTGGAAGAAGCATGGTCATCTATCCGAACTTTCTCGTTAACCCCTCTTCTTGTATTTGCAGCAAACTTTGAAGCCAAAATTGTGGCTCCAAGATGCTGAACATTGTTTGCATTATCCATTTGACCACTCCCATCATCACTGCTATTACTTGTATAGTCAGGGATAGACATGTAATGGAAACTCTCTTTTAGAGTCAACGCCTTTGCCTGCTTTCTCTTTTCGTACCTTCTCCATGCTGCTTGCAGAAAGCAAGCACCCCATGTCCTCCACTGGTGAGAATAGTACCTGAACGCATGCTGAAGCTTCTTGCTGTGAAGACGCTTAAACTGACTTGCGACAAACTTGAGGTCTTCTGCTCGAAGTGCAAAAGCTTCAACTTCAGAAAGGGTTCTGACAGTTCGAGTCGAAGAAGGCAGGTTTAGGCTTGGGTTAGGCATTAAGGCCCATGTCAGTAATTCCTCCCCACAGAAGTCACCAGGTCTTAATGTGATGGAGTTGAAGAACCCAGACCTTCCTCCATTTGTTGTGGAGCTCTCCAGTTGCCCCCTAATAACAAAAATCATTTCATTTACCGGATCACCCTCTCTAACAATATAGGTGTCTGTCGTACTCAAGGACGAAACAAGTCGTTCACATATGGCATCAAGAAGCTGGTCATCCATTTGTGAGAAGAAAGGGACCTGTAAAATGGAAAAATTAAAAACCTGAAAGGATATAGTGGAAATCAAGTATCAACTACTTTTTAGAATCGCTGTCATGTGTCCACAAAGGAAAATGTATACTTCCANACTCGATGAGACACACATGTTTAATTAATATTTGAGACATATAACATGTGTAGAATAGATTATCAATATAGTTATAATTTGGTATAAATGTGTCATTTACGAAGTTGATTTTTGTAAAGAGACAAACACAGGCAAACGACACCTTCAATTACCTGAGTATCTATGTTATAAATACCTTTATTACTTATCTCTACAGTACACACAATAGACAATTTGACTTGTGCGATAATATTCATTAGTTCCACCTATCCGAGAAATTTTTTACTGATCCCAACAATTAATAGGCAACTCGACTCATTTCATCTCATCCATTTATCTTACTCAACCTTTTGAGTGTCATCAAATCATTTCGACCCCTCTTGAGATAAGCTTTAAAAAGAATAAAGTCAGATGAGTTATTTTGGAATACTCTCAAATTAAGTTACGCTCTGAACTCTTAATGTGTTTATGAGCTGAAAGTGATGAAATCTGCAATTCCCATATCAATAGAAGATCGTGGGATCCATTGATTCCCCCAGCTTGTATATATCAATGATTGAGCTGGCTGGTTTGCCATCATGTTCAGATATCCATAAAACCCGGATCCTATGGATTCGTTCGATCCTCTTGACTCGCAAGAAACTCAAAAAAATAGTATACTGCCATGCATGTATTAGCTCTGATAATGGAGAAATTATTGGGTGTNCGCAAGAAACTCAAAAAAATAGTATACTGCCATGCATGTATTAGCTCTGATAATGGAGAAATTATTGGGTGTATGTGGTATAATTACTCAATAAAAAACAAACAATTACGCAAAATGGACCCCACCAATTCAAATAATCATTTCTCTATGTAAGATAGTAGAGTTCACTTACATATTTGTTTATTTATCATTGAGCGATTATAGTACTTGACAATATTGTCTNTTTGATGAGTCAAGTTTGATTTATATTGAGATTAAGGCAAATTAATCCTTTTATACACGATGTTATATTTCAGCTAGAGGAATGGAATTACATTAAAATTGTAGGATTAAATTATGATTAATAAATACTTGAGGGTTGATAGTATAATTTGAAGTACTAATGAGGTTAAGTAGGAGGAGATAAGTAAAGAAACATATATCCTTATGGTGACTCATTCGCGATCCTTCAGATTGGGTGCCCCTTGCCTCAAGGAAAGTATATCTTCCTTGAGAGACAAGTTTAGGCTGCACTCGATGAGACACGCATGTTTAATTAATATTTGAGACATATAACATGTGTAGAATAGATTATCAATATAGTTATAATTTGGTACAAATGTGTCATTTACGAAGTTGATTTTTGTAAAGAGACAAACACAGGCAAACGACACCTTCAATTACCTGAGTATCTATGTTATAAATACATTTATTACTTATCTCTACAGTACACACAATAGACAATTTGACTTGTGCGATAATATTCATTAGTTCCACCTATCCGAGAAATTTTTTACTGATCCCAACAATTAATAGGCAACTCGACTCATTTCATCTCATCCATTTATCTTACTCAACCTTTTGAGTGTCATCAAATCATTTCGACCCCTCTTGAGATAAGCTTTAAAAAGAATAAAGTCAGATGAGTTATTTTGGAATACTCTCAAATTAAGTTACACTCTGAACTCTTAATGTGTTTATGAGCTGAAAGTGATGAAATCTGCAATTCCCATATCAATAGAAGATCGTGGGATCCATTGATTCCCCCAGCTTGTATATATCAATGATTGAGCTGGCTGGTTTGCCATCATGTTCAGATATCCATAAAACCCGGATCCTATGGATTCGTTCGATCCTCTTGACTCGCAAGAAACTCAAAAAAATAGTATACTGCCATGCATGTATTAGCTCTGATAATGGAGAAATTATTGGGTGTATGTGGTATAATTACTCAATAAAAAACAAACAATTACGCAAAATAGACCCCACCAATTCAAATAATCATTTCTCTATGTAAGATAGTAGAGTTCACTTACATATTTGTTTATTTATCATTGAGCGATTATAGCACTTGACAATATTGCCGTGTTGTAACTATTGTACCCAATATTTACTCCCGATAATGGCCTCCTTTTTTGTACGATTAGTATTTTAAGATTTAGACTTGTTTCAATATATACTCATTATGTTGGTATTTATAGGTAGGTGAACATTCAAGTGGTGCACTTATCACTGCATGCCTATATATAAATGGGAATAATTACAATGAAAGGTAGTCGAAAGAAGTAGCATAATGGGGTAAAGGTAAGGGTTCACTTTAACTCGTAAGTGATTGCTGATTCCAATCTAATTCTGTCACTTTCATCTTCGGGACCAAAATACATAAAGAAAAGAAAAAGTAATCTTTAAATTAATGAAATTGTGGTGGAGAAGATATATATTTTCTTTTCTAGATTCCAAAAGCTTGAAAGTTGATGGAAAACAAAGTAAGAAAGAAAAGTGGAAGGCCACACACTCCTCCCAGGAAAAGGAAAAGGAAGTTGCCATCGGCGATATCCTCTAATTGAAATTAGCAAATTCCAGGAACTTTCTGGTCATATGGACACCTACTAGCTAGTCTACTCTTCACCAGGTCCCAGTGACGGGTGATGGTGATGCCTCCTTCATCTTTCCTCACTCTTATCAATTCTTTGCTGAAACGAGAGAAAGTGAGAGAGAGAGACAGAGAGAGTCATAAGCAGAAATTCTGATCTCATCTTTAGACTCTCTTATAATAATTTTCTTTTGCGTTATTTTACATGGACTGAAAATAGGGAAAATTATAGTTTAATCCCCTCAACTATTAACTTTATCATCTTGTTCTCTACACTATTTTGAATTAGTTTTATACTATTCCAGACTGCACAAACTAACGTTCGACATATTTTGAACGAAAAATATTCAAGTATTTAATAGAACACATGTCTCTTCTGATTTATATGTTTAGGACAACTTTAAATTAATAATCATAAGTGGCGGTGCAATGTAAAAACTGTGATTGTTCGGAGCTAAAACCAATAGTCATATTAAGTAGGGGAATTTCACTTTGCATCTCAAAGATTTAAAGTTTTTTATTTTATACCCTCAAAAATTAATTTTTTTTTACGTTGTACACTTAATGTATTAAAAGTATTACAATACGATCCTTTTGTTAGTTTCAGTTGCTTATTCCATAAAAAATACCCTATTGATGTTGGTGGAATAAGTGACGAAATAATCACGAAATTAACGAAATAATCACATTATAACACTTTTAATACATTAAGGGTACAATGTAAGAGATTTAATCTTTAAGAGTACAAAATAAAAAATCCTAAATTTTTCAAGAGGTAAACTATAATTCGTCCTATTAAGTAAGAAACTTAATAATTGAGAGACTAATGAATGTGAGACAAAAAAACATAAATGGGAATCAAAATATAATTTATCCCTTAGAAAATGCCTTATCCGTGTTGGAGGTGAGTCAACTAGGTTGCAGTTGCACTGACTCAGAACTCAGAAGTTGATGAGACCATACTGCATTGTCATTCTTCTGGGCGGCTGTGTTTAAATTGAGACTGATGAGGTGGCGAGAGAAAGACAATTCTGCATGGGAAATAAATTGGATTTTATGGGTCCATTTTTTTGTTTTTTCTTTTCATTTTTATGACCATAAATGAAACACGTGTTTAGGGGATTTTTAGTGGGGGTTGGGTTTGAGTCTTTTCAACATGATGTACATTCTCCAAAATTTGGCACAAACATGAAACACTGTTGAAGGATTTTTAGGGGTTAGTATGATGCAGCTGCATGACATAAAAGTAGTCTATCTTAGAGCATTCCCAACACATACCGTAAATGACTAAAAATTTAGTTAACTAAAATTAGGACTCATGCTCCAATAGAACATGTTCTTATACTCTAAAATAGATTTTTGTTATAGTGATACTCTTAATATTGCAATTTAAAATAATTGATATTTAAAAGTACAAATTAAAAAATTTATAATCTTACGAAGTGCAAACTGCCATTTGTTACCATTGTACAGTTGTACCGTAGCATCACTGCTGCATTCTCTTTACTCGTGGTTCTTGGACTGTAAGTATAAAAGTACTAAAAATTATAATTTTTTAATGTTAAGTTATAAACTTTTTAAGTGTAAGTTACATCGTCAAAGGGCATGATCGATCATGAAAATATTGGGATCGATACCGCGCTTATCATTATTGATCATAATTTTTTTTGAACAATTGTCACTTCACTTTTTAAAATTATAATTTTATCACATAAAATAGTAACCCGCGGGACTGACTCCAATTTTTTATTTTGGGTACAATAGAATTTCGTTAAAAGTGATAGCAATAGCCAAGGGACACTTGTAAGGTTGTGAGTGGGTTTGTATCTGAAAGCAACCACTTTGTACAAATAAAATAAAAGTTAGATTTGATATAATCCTTTGATCCGAAAATTCAATAGAGAGAGTAATCGAATAGTGACAAAGGTCAGTTTAATAAGGGTATACGTGCATATGCCAGTAGAAGCAATTGTAAATTTTGCCCTCCGTTTCAAAGGTTGTCATTGGAGCATTTAAATTAGACAAAACAGCAGCCATATCCGGAATGGATCCTTAAATCTCAGAGTGCATCAATCAAACAACTTAGTGCTATCTGAGTCAAAACTCCATAGTTCATTCAATACCATGTGTCTTTCAAAATTCCATTGCACCTAGTTTTTAAATCTGCCCTGACCTGGACATTAATTCGGCAAAAGACCATATTAATGGGATACTAATTTAATTATTGGGTCATTAGTAAATCAGTCATATAATTAAAAATTTTAACAAATGTAGGTGACAAATAAATGGACTCTTCATATTTTTTTTTAATAGTCAGGGGTGTTCTGATTAACTTACATGCACCTCGACTAATTCTCTCTCCAGACCGATCAAAGGTAAGTCATCTACATCATGACTAGGGTATTCATGAGGAATAAATCATTTATGATTTGGTCCCAAGAGATTGCTAAGATTCAAACTCAAAATATCTGAGTAGGACTGGTAATTGACCAAGGACTCGGCTTGATACGAACTGAGTTTGAATAATTTTTTAAATCCGTTTTAAAAAAATAAGTCTAAAAAAGTTCGTGACTAGGCTATTCACGAATTACTCCAACTTGACTTATTTTTTAAATGAATAAAGTTTAAAGAATATTTTAAACTTATTTAAAAAAATAAGTTCGACAAACTCAACTTAAAGTTATAAATTTTGGTTTGATTATCGGCCTTATGTTTGAGTTTATAATCCATTGCTAATACTACCTGTGGGATAATTTATACCTGTCATATAGACCGACCGATTATACCTGACATAAATTTGATAATATATATATTAAATACAAAATAAAATAAATTTTGATATGCACAAATGTGACACATCACACCTGTGGCCAGACCAATCCCATAGGATCCTTGTAGCTCGAGTCAACTCGGTTGAGTTACCTAATTAACCGAGTTCATTTTTCCAATTTGTCATCACTTCTGACACGTTACTATCAGTGGTCACTGATGTGTGTTAAAGAATAGGGATATCATCAGTTAGTGCCTGCACATATTGCAGACCCACCTCCCCTCCACAAACTCACTGTTTTCTTTGTTTTTTCCCCTGTGGAAGACACAGCCAAGAGGTGACGATAACCCAAAATACTCTGCACAAAAGCTGAAACCAAAAACAAAGAGAGACTCAACAAGAATCGAAGCCTCCCCATCATGCATACAATAGCTTCAAGACAAAGAGCAACGAACGATAGACCCATCTTCACACACACAACACACAATATCCTTGTTTTTTAGCATTTTTCTCACAGCCCACCTGGTTCCAGTACTATTCTCTTTGTATTTTCATCGTGGTGTTTCGTGTGGTCCTTTGATTTTTTTAGTTTTTGTGCATTTTTTAAACGAACATCGTTTGTTCTCCATTTTTTAGTTTTTGGGTTTTCTTGAAGTAATTGAACTGGGGACTGTGTAACTCCTCTGAACCATCTTTGTTTTTGTTCAAATTGAAGTAAGTAAATAAGTTTGAGTTTTTTTTTTCCCATGTTCCTGAGACGCCCTGTGATGGACATTGAAGATTGGAATGGTGTCAATCCAATCAAGGTGAGCAAATGCTGCTGTTTATTGTAGGACCCATCTTCCATTAACTGCTTTTTCTGCNAGGTTGGAATGGTGTCAATCCAATCAAGGTGAGCAAATGCTGCTGTTTATTGTAGGACCCATCTTCCATTAATTGCTTTTTCTGCTAATCTTCTTCTTGTTATTATTGTTATTATTCCATTTTGTGCAGAAGGAATCATGGAGGACAGTCTTGATTTTAGCTTATCAGAGCTTGGGCGTTGTATATGGAGATTTAAGCACTTCACCGTTATATGTATACAAAAGCACTTTTGCAGAGGACATTCAACATTCAGAGTCCAATGAGGAGATATATGGAGTCCTGTCCTTCGTGTTCTGGACATTGACTCTTATTCCTCTGCTTAAATATGTGTTCGTAGTGCTTAGAGCCGATGATAATGGTGAAGGAGGGACGTTCGCTTTGTATTCACTGTTATGCCGGCACGCCCGAGTGAGCACTTTGCCCAATAATCAGCTGGCTGATGAAGAGCTATCGGAGTACAAGAACGATGGTATTGTATCCTCTAATAAGGGTTTAGGGTTGAGCTTAAGATCGACATTGGAGAAGCACAGAGTGTTGCAGAAGATATTGCTTATCCTTGCTTTGATTGGGACTTGTATGGTTATTGGAGATGGAGTCCTCACCCCTGCAATCTCTGGTATGTTACTGATTAATTTTGGTTTAAACTTTGCAAATTGACATGCTAATAACTGGGAATTGTTTGAAATTTTGAATGGTTTTGGTTTAAACTTTTGAAATTGGCAAGTTAACAATTGGGTTTTTATTTATTTGGTTTTATGTGCAGTTTTTTCAGCAGTTTCTGGGCTTGAGCTTTCCATGTCAAAGGAGCACCACCAATGTAAGTCCTTGCCTATTGCTCTTTTTTTCATTCTTTCACATCAGCAGCCATTTTTAGCTTTGGAAGAAGATAATTTTTCATATTCCTAGAGGGTTCAATCTGTGTTGAAAATATGTTTCAACCCTTTCTGAAAATGAGAAGAGAAGCATGAATCCAGATGTATGGTAATTAGGTAACTGGAAATAACTTGGAACAGTGTAGAACTTAAGTGGTTTTGAGAAGGGCCCGTAAGCTGTGAGAGTTATGTGTTTCTGGTCTCTCGGTTGTTTTAAGCATTTTTTGGTGATTCCTTCGGCACTTACTCTTGATATCTTCTGTAAAGTTTTGGAGATCATTAACAAGGAACAAAGTCTTGATTTCACTATTAAATATTCAGAAGTTGGACTCCATTTAGAAATCTAGAAAGCTTTTATGCAGACGTGCAGTTGGTGGACAAAGAGAGATTGCCAAATTGCAATAAACATGTATTATTGTGGGTCCCTTTTTATGAAATTTAACCAAGACAAAGTTTTCTGCTTTAATCAAAGTCAAATCACCATTAAATATGTAAATAAAGTTAGGTTTCCTACTTTTTTATGGTGTGGTAGGCCAAAGTTGATAACATCTTATGATAAAGTAAGGATGTAGCTGAGGCTGAGAAAAAGAAGTTTGTATGCATTAATTAAAAGATTAAGTGGATAATGATGTTCCTTGGTAAAGTAATCATATTAAAATGTAGAAAAAGGGAATATTGTTGGGATGAGGCAGTATGGGTAAAGATGTTATAAATATAATAATCCAGTGCAATTAGTATATACTTAACTAAATTTTCAATGAGCAGTAGTGAAACATATCTATCTATCATTAGACTGGTCAAATTGCGTTAGAATGATGATTGAAGTCTTCCTTGAGGCAAAAACAATTATGAATTAATATATGGTATACACTGTATGATGTCAGCAAAGCTTTGATTGACACTACTGTTACTGTCCTAATTGTAGTGATTTTCCAGAATGAAAATATCCTATTATTGCTTAATTGAGTGTCACAAACTGTTGATGTCAAATATCTCCTTCATATCTACTACGGACCATTCATGAAGATTTTATGCCCATCTTCTAAATCTCTATGAGTACTTCCATTTTATATCCATTCCCAGCCATATGTAAGATCAATTTGTCATTGTCTTGTTAATTATGATGTTCATCTATTGTTTCTTTTAGGCAATGGTTCTACCTTTGTTTATTTGTTGTGTTCTTCATTATTTGTGGGCAACTGATTCCCCACCATACATATTTTGTCATAAAATTGGCTAATGATTCCAGTTTTAAAAATATGCGACCTCAAGTTAGTGAAAACAAAGATGCAATATTAGTGTACATGCTGCTGCTTCATCTCCTATTATGCCTATGTGCATCTCTTATTTACACCTAATGGGTGTTAGTACATTAGGCTGTGATTCATATTTGTCTCCTTGACAAATGATGTGTAACCTTCAAGCGTTACAGTAACAACATAATTATGGATTCGATTAGTCTGCCATTTTGCTTTTTCTACTGTATTTTGCCTCTTGAGACCGCCATAAGTATTTCCCNTTTCAGCAGTTTCTGGGCTTGAGCTTTCCATGTCAAAGGAGCACCACCAATGTAAGTCCTTGCCTATTGCTCTTTTTTTCATTCTTTCACATCAGCAGCCATTTTTAGCTTTGGAAGAAGATAATTTTTCATATTCCTAGAGGGTTCAATCTGTGTTGAAAATATGTTTCAACCCTTTCTGAAAATGAGAAGAGAAGCATGAATCCAGATGTATGGTAATTANAGAAGATAATTTTTCATATTCCTAGAGGGTTCAATCTGTGTTGAAAATATGTTTCAATCCTTTCTGAAAATGAGAAGAGAAGCATGAATCCAGATGTATGGTAATTAGGTAACTGGAAATAACTTGGAACAGTGTAGAACTTAAGTGGTTTTGAGAAGGGCCCGTAAGCTGTGAGAGTTATGTGTTTCTGGTCTCTCTCGGTTGTTTTAAGCATTTTTTGGTGCNTTAGGTAACTGGAAATAACTTGGAACAGTGTAGAACTTAAGTGGTTTTGAGAAGGGCCCGTAAGCTGTGAGAGTTATGTGTTTCTGGTCTCTCGGTTGTTTTAAGCATTTTTTGGTGATTCCTTCGGCACTTACTCTTGATATCTTCTGTAAAGTTTTGGAGATCATTAACAAGGAACAAAGTCTTGATTTCACTATTAAATATTCAGAAGTTGGACTCCATTTAGAAATCTAGAAAGCTTTTATGCAGACGTGCAGTTGGTGGACAAAGAGAGATTGCCAAATTGCAATAAACATGTATTATTGTGGGTCCCTTTTTATGAAATTTAACCAAGACAAAGTTTTCTGCTTTAATCAAAGTCAAATCACCATTAAATATGTAAATAAAGTTAGGTTTCCTACTTTTTTATGGTGTGGTAGGCCAAAGTTGATAACATCTTATGATAAAGTAAGGATGTAGCTGAGGCTGAGAAAAAGAAGTTTGTATGCATTAATTAAAAGATTAAGTGGATAATGATGTTCCTTGGTAAAGTAATCATATTAAAATGTAGAAAAAGGGAATATTGTTGGGATGAGGCAGTATGGGTAAAGATGTTATAAATATAATAATCCAGTGCAATTAGTATATACTTAACTAAATTTTCAATGAGCAGTAGTGAAACATATCTATCTATCATTAGACTGGTCAAATTGCGTTAGAATGATGATTGAAGTCTTCCTTGAGGCAAAAACAATTATGAATTAATATATGGTATACACTGTATGATGTCAGCAAAGCTTTGATTGACACTACTGTTACTGTCCTAATTGTAGTGATTTTCCAGAATGAAAATATCCTATTATTGCTTAATTGAGTGTCACAAACTGTTGATGTCAAATATCTCCTTCATATCTACTACGGACCATTCATGAAGATTTTATGCCCATCTTCTAAATCTCTATGAGTACTTCCATTTTATATCCATTCCCAGCCATATGTAAGATCAATTTGTCATTGTCTTGTTAATTATGATGTTCATCTATTGTTTCTTTTAGGCAATGGTTCTACCTTTGTTTATTTGTTGTGTTCTTCATTATTTGTGGGCAACTGATTCCCCACCATACATATTTTGTCATAAAATTGGCTAATGATTCCAGTTTTAAAAATATGCGACCTCAAGTTAGTGAAAACAAAGATGCAATATTAGTGTACATGCTGCTGCTTCATCTCCTATTATGCCTATGTGCATCTCTTATTTACACCTAATGGGTGTTAGTACATTAGGCTGTGATTCATATTTGTCTCCTTGACAAATGACGTGTAACCTTGAAGCGTTACAGTAACAACATAATTATGGATTCGATTAGGCTGCCATTTTGCTTTTTCTACTGTATTTTGCCTCTTGAGACCGCCATAAGTATTTCCCTTAGTGATCTTGTTCGTCAAGAGGATTGTTGGTTACTTGTTAAGAGTGTTCCTTTCATCCATGGACCAATTTTGTGCATATCCCTGGCACGGTTACCCCTTTTCTATGTCATTTTATATGTGTACCAAACTGGTGTGATGCATCCTTCAAAGGCCTCTAAAAATACATTGCAGTTGATAAACCAGTTTTCTTTAGAAAATGTTAGCTAAAACAATAAATATTGCACTACCATTATCATGGAAAGGCAAATGCGCTGGCAATTGAGGGACTGCTTATGTGGTTTCTACATATTCTATCTCTGTTTCTCTGACTTTTTTGTAGATAAAAGCTTTATTTCTAAAGTTAAATTGGGGCGTCATCGATTCCCATTTTTGCATCATGCAGCTTGTCTGGTTGTCCCCCAGTCTCACCATTTGGCTGGTTCTATTTTTGTCACCGTTCAGATGTTTAGAGTTGATTGTGAAGTTTTTTTATACATTTTTGGATTCTCTTCAATACACCTCCCCGTACCAGATATCTGTATCACTTTTTTTTCTTTTTTTGTAAGAGGCGTATAACTAACAGAAACCAAAGGCAAAAGCAAAACCCTTACTGAAGATGACTTGATGAGAGCAAAAGAAAAACCCTCGTTTTCCTTTTACAATTGCAGAATATTGTGAATAAGATGTAAATTATGAAGGCATCCTGAAAAGCAAACTCTTGACAGAACGCATGGACTTCACCATAAAGAGAGATTCCTTCTCTAATCCAGTCTAATCCCATATGTGGTTTTTCCACCTTATGGGTACACAACACAGGCATATATGTTGGTAAGGACTTATTTTTAGAACTCTGGAAGAGTTGGACCGAGGTACGCCAGGCCCTGAGCAGAATCATCTTCCTGTATTTATATATTTATAAGTCTCTAAATCTGGGAAGTGTGGGGATACAATATGTTTAAGATTCATTTATAGTTATTCTGATGGTAGAGAATGAAATGATAGTCAGAAGTTTTCCTCTTTTTGAAACTAGGTACGGCTCTGTAGAATTATTGCTTATCAACCAGTGTTATACTCTTACATTCAGGTTTAACATTAGTCCGGCACTTTATTTTTCAGTTAAAGTGGGAAAATTTTTCACTTTCCTCTGAAACCATTTTTAATCCATGTAAAGTCTGACAGGATGATTTGGATAATGCTTACTTGACAAGATTTTCTTGAACTATTATATTGAAGAAATTACTGTCAGAGTTTACTAAACATTTGTTTTCTTCTGCAGATGTGGAAGTCCCAGTCGCCTGTATCATACTGATATTTTTGTTTTGCCTCCAGCATTATGGGACCCACCGAGTAGGATTTCTGTTTGCACCTGTCGTGATAACCTGGCTTTTATGCATCAGCGCCATTGGAGTATACAACATATTTTACTGGAATCCCCATGTTTACCAAGCACTTTCTCCTTATTATATGTACAAATTTTTGAAGAAAACTCAAAGAGGAGGTTGGATGTCCTTGGGTGGGATTCTATTGTGCATAACAGGTGGAGTGAAGTGATCTGTGTTCTCTCTGTTTTTTCCTAGAAGATTGTCTTGTCTAATACTTCTTTTATTACAGGTTCAGAGGCTATGTTTGCTGATCTTGGACATTTTTCACAGTTGTCTATAAAGGTAAATAACATAGGATACATTTTATTTGTTTTTCTTTAAATTTAAATAAAAAGATAGAGGAGGATGAGGACAGAATGCAAAAAGAAAATTACACAAAGGTTTAACAAGGTTTGACCCTAAGACCTATATCCGTGCACACAAAACATCAAAGGGCTACTTCTTCATTATTCTCTTTTGATTGTAGGAGAATGAAGACACCATGTGACATAAATCAGAATACATGTAGGAACCAATTCCATAAATCATTCCAATCATGTGATTTTTGTCACTAATAAGCATTGTTCTGTTCTTGATTACTATTCATGGAGAGTACATTTATCTAGCAACTGGTTTCTCTGCTAGATATTGCTACAATTAAAACAACTCCCTGATAGAGATCCACTTAACTGTAGATTGCTTTTACCTGCGTGGTTTACCCATCCTTGATTCTTGCATATATGGGACAAGCTGCTTATCTTTCCAAGCATCACATTATCGAAACTGACTACCGGATTGGCTTCTATGTATCAGTACCTGGTAAGTATTTTTTCTTTTTCTGCTCTTTTATTCCTATTTTGTAAGGCATGTCTTGTGGTTATGTGGTGTTCTTCTTTTTAGAAAACAAAATCCAAGATGAATCTTTGCATGAGTGTTAGCTAAGTTAAATTTTCTTATCATTGTTCCAGAGAAAATAAGATGGCCTGTTCTGGCAATAGCCATACTTGCTGCAGTGGTCGGAAGCCAAGCCATCATCACTGGGACTTTTTCCATCATTAAGCAGTGCTCTGCTTTGGGTTGCTTCCCAAGGGTCAAAATAATCCACACATCGTCAAAAATACATGGCCAGATTTACATTCCAGAGATAAACTGGACATTAATGCTGCTATGCTTGGCTGTTACTATTGGTTTCAGAGACACAAAACACATAAGTAATGCATCAGGTATTGTCTTAAACAATGTTTTCTGTGTACAGTCTCACATTTTTCACTTCAGTCTATTATCCCTCTGCCATTATCTTTGTTTCCTCCCGTGAATTTCCTTGGTGGGACTATATCACTAACCTTAGAATGATGGACACCCTGCTGTTGATGCCTGAATCCCACCATCTCAACCCAAGTTCTTGAAACGTGGTTTTTTAATCCAATTCAAAAGATTAATCTTCAAGTTTTACAACTTCCTATCGTTGTGGTTGAATTTGAGATATCATGTTTTGAAGTTTCTCATATCTTGCAGGCCAAATAATGTGCCAATTTTCTGCAGTATTTATTGGCAAATAGTAAAAAAAACAAAAGAAAAAATCTTCTTTGCATCTCTGTATATAAATGTTCCAAATGCAATGATTCTTATTTACGGAGGACAATGTTTTTCGAATCAATTTTATGCAAGAAGGCTCACATATGTCAAGCCATAGGAGAAATGTACCAATGTAGGAGAATTTAATTCAGTCAATGGTTTATCTTCTGATGAGAAGCACCTCAACGATACTGAATGAATCACTTGGTTCATTAGTTTTTCTGACTGATTTATTTTAGAAGTGTTATGAATTGTCACCTATAATCATGATATTCCTCACTGCTTCTCCCCATTTGCTGGAGCAGGTTTGGCAGTTATAACTGTTATGCTGGTGACGACCTGCCTAATGTCTCTTGTTATAATCCTGTGCTGGCACAAAAGCGTCTTTCTAGCCATTTGCTTTATATTTTTCTTTGGATCTGTTGAAGCGCTCTACTTCTCAGCTTCCCTTATTAAGTTCCGAGAAGGGGCTTGGGTCCCTGTTGCCCTCTCATTAATCTTTCTTATAATTATGAACGTTTGGCACTATGGCACACTAAAAAAATACGAGTTCGATGTTCAAAACAAGGTTTCCATCGACTGGCTCCTCAGTTTGAGTCCAAATCTGGGAATCAAGCGGGTTCGTGGCATTGGCCTCATACACACTGAGCTTGTATCTGGAATCCCAGCCATTTTCTCCCACTTCGTTACTAATCTCCCCGCTTTTCATCAAGTTTTAGTCTTTCTCTGCATCAAGTCAGTACCAGTGCCTCATGTAAGACCTGAGGAAAGGTTCCTAGTGGGAAGAATTGGACCAAAGGAGTACAGGCTCTACCGGTGCATAGCACGATATGGTTATCATGACATACACATGGATGATGTTGAGTTTGAAAAGGATCTTGTTTGTAGTATTGCTGAATTTATCCGTTCACAGAAGCCAGAATCGGACATCAAAGATCTGGAGGATGATGAAAAGATGACTGTTGTGGGCACAGCTTCAACAAATTTAGATGGTATTAGGATGTGTGACTATGATTATTCAGATTCTTCTCAAATGGCTGGTACATCAGAACTAAGGGAAATTATGTCACCAGAGATTCCAAGGAAGAGAGTGAGATTTCTTTTGCCAGAGAGTCCTCAGGTCGACACAAGTACACGAGAGGAGTTGCAGGAATTGATGGAAGCAAGGGAGGCAGGGATGGCATTCATACTGGGGCATTGTTATGTTAGAGCAAAGAGGGGTTCAAGTTTGATGAAAAGATTTGTGATTAACTTAGGATATGATTTCTTGAGGAGGAACTCTCGGGGTCCAACGTACGCGCTAAGCCTTCCTCGTGCATCAACTCTAGAGGTGGGCATGATCTACCATGTTTAATTTTGTTATAGGATATAGTAATGTATAATTTTGTTATGGATTTCTGTATAAGCCTCTGTAAATAATAGATTCAGAGCTGTTGTGCAAGACCAATTGAAATGGTTGAAGAGCTCCTAGCATGTACAATGCTGAAAATTTGAGGTTTTTGTTCTCCAGATGTAGTCAATTATCCCCCCTTCTACATTTCTACCCCTTCACACAAATTCTACACAATAATCACAAAAGACACTTTCCCTTTTGAAAAATGATTCATATAGTGGACTCTGAGATGGCTGGGATGATATTTGATTGATTCTAGGTTGATGTTTTAGTTCAATCATCACACATTTTTTTTAATGAACATTCTGCTTTGATTTAATGGTGTCACATACTAATCGAATCGGTGGTCTTGTGGTAAATCGTACTTCGTTGGAGTCTTCAATAATTTTTATGTGGTCATCAAACAGGGTTTGATTTATGGAAGTTATGTGATTTGTTGTTTGGTTTCAGTTCCGAATTAGTAATTATGGTTCAAACTAGATATTTTACAGTGAGAGAGACCTTTATAATAATGCTCATATCTACTAGTTGTCGCTCTTTCTTTTTCAAGCATAAAAAAAAAAAAAATTGGTGTCACATACTAATTGATGGACTATTTTGACTCAAGATTAACAAAATATAATTTTGTAGTTTTAATTGTCCATTTTTGCTTTTTTGAAAAATGTAATTACTAATTCTTATACGTGGCACCCACTCAACAATTACAATAACAATTAATATATGGTTAATATGATTAATTGTTATTGTAAGTGCAAAAATAAATATTTTATAATTTCTATACATATATATGAATTGTTTTAAAATTAAATAATCTTTTATTAATACAAACACAACATGAAACGAAATTACACCAACTTTAAAATGTTACTAATTCAAAATTGTATAACACGATTGGACACATGTTGACACCCCCAATTCTACACGTTTGATCGAATTTCAAAAAAGTTATACAAGTCCGAAATTCGGTCAAAAGAGAAAAAGAAAAAGAAAAAGAAAAACATTCTCTTGAACAAACAAGGATGCTGCTGGTCGGCATATGAGAATGAGATCTATCCTAATCCAATGGACTAGGTGATGTGAAGAGAATACCTGAAAAAGACGGTGAATAAAATAAACTAATGATGAGTTAAAGTGGAATTTAAATTCTCGCTATTATTTTTTAAAAATAATTTTATTTAATGATAAATCACTTACCATATATAAATGAAGAGTCAACAGATAAATAATGAATCTCACGTAAATATTTATTGTTTAGAGTGTTTTGTTTAAAAAACTAAAAAGATGGAAAAGTCTTTTTGTAGAGACTATCTAATTTATTTTTTTTGATTTTTTTGTGTCAAATAAAAAATAATAATTACATGGATGTATAAATTATATATAATAATTTTCAAAATATGATTTTTTTTTGCGTTATTAATAATATTTTATGAACATAATAAATTAAAAAAAAATTTATGAAAACCAAGATAAAACTCAAAAATTTAAAAAAACTCATAAAATCAGTTTTTTTTAAATCACTCTAAATAAGTCTTTTTATGTTCAAAAAATTGACGCATAAGTCAGTAAAAAAAAAATCAAGGTCCAAATCAGGGTGTCAATCGTGTCGTGTTTGTATGACCTAGATGTCGTGTCATTGTTATTCGTATCGTATTCGTGTCAAGACCCACAAAAAAAAATCTATTTAATGTGTTCTGAGTATTAAACATTAGTTTAGATTATTTATTATGCGTATTTAATAATCATGTTAATTTTATAATTATTCATATCAACGGGTTAGAGTTGACACATTTAATCTGAAAGGACCTGCCTTATTTAACTCCAAAACCATTAAAAGTTATCTAAAATAGTTCGAAGCATAACCATTATTTTTAAATACATCATGGACGATGCGGAAGACTCTATACAACATAAAAAAATTAAATATTGATTGTATAATATTTTATTTTTTCCTTTTTTTTTAATTTTGTAATTTAAAATTAGAAAAAATAAGGGAGAGGGAAGAACAATGTAGGTGTTGTTTAGTAGAATTGAGTGTATTGGTTGAATTGTTTAATATTAAAAATTGTGCAAAAAAATTTTTTAAAATAATTTTTGTACCATTAAATAAAAATGACTAAAAATTAGATTAATCTTAATCGTTATTATATTTTTATAGATGTGCAATTTAAGTTGCTTAGCTGTTTATAGAATAGTGCTTAGCAGTAATTTTTTATTTAACTTATTTAGAGCTATATTAATTATGAAAATAATGAAATAAAACAAAATAATAAATCAACAAATTATTATACATGTAACTTTGTGATTGGAAAAAAAAAAAGAACTAAAACAATATTTTTGGTACCATGATATAGAGTTATAAAAATATGATGCAATCCATTAATACCACACGAAATAAAAAGGTTTACATTTTTTTTAATTCACTTATTTTGTAAATGAGAAGTTGACTATGAGTGAAATTAATTAAAAAAATATATGATATAATTTATATAATAAAGTAGTTTATTATGCAAATCTCAAAAGATAAACAAAATGATTTTTGTTATTCGTGGTTGAGATCGTTTTAAATTTTACTTTAAAGTTAATCTAACGGCTAATATTAACACCCTAAATTTAATAGGAAAAATAAATCTTAAAGGTGTGTTTGGAGTAACTTTTTAAAAATACTTATAGAAATTATTTATCAAAAACTTTTTTAAAAAAATAGTGTTTAAAATCGTCTCACCACTATCTCTACTCACACCACCACCATTGCCACCACCGCTGCTATTGTCGTCGTCATCACCACTACCACCACTATCACCATTGTCGTCCTCGTCATTGTCGTCACCGTCACCATCACCGCAGCCCTCTCGCCTTTACGATCATTGTCATCCACCACAATCATTACTGTTTTCTATCATCACCGCTGTCGTTCTCCATTTTTCATCCCTACTACAAGTTGATGCTTAAATTCTTTTATTTTTTTTTATGTTTATAATTTAATTTTAAATATAAATATAAATAATTATATTTTATTATTTTTTATTACTAAATTTTTTTTAAATATAAACAATAACTAATAATTTATATATCATGTAACTCGATATAACACAATTCACCCCGCACAATTGAGAGACCTGCCAAGATAGGGCCCTCGTAAATCTTATCTATAATTATTGTAAGGCGTAATGACATCGTCTCAAGCGACTACAGAACAACTCACATCAGATCAGGTGCAGCACAGAGGTTCTGATTCTGTCGGGGCACCCTTTCGCTAAAAAGACGCTTCTGGCCCTATCAGTGTGCCGTGCAAATGAGGGCAAGGTCGACTTTTAAGTAATCAACAAGTATGTCCCGATTGAATAAGTGATGGCGCCCTCATCATAAACCAATAAGCATTGGCACGCAATTAATTAGCAGTATTAAGACAAAAACGGAGCCTATGATTCCCTTCTTCACTGACACTCCTCTCTCTTTCCCTTTTACTTTCTTACCTTGAACAGTGCTCCCTTCTGTTTTACTGCACCCACTACGCTTCCCATGATCACATCTCTCTCTCTCTGCATTCTTTGTGTTTCTGTCCCCTCATGCTCTCACTCATTGAAGAAAAGAAGGGCTGTGCTGATTAACATGTAAAAAGACTCGGAAGGCAGTGTGGGTGGGCTCTCTCTTTCACTCTCAAATGCAGAGCTTCTATTTCCTTGTCTTACCGTTTTTTGTCCTTTGAGTGGCGACTGAGAACAAGAACAATGGGAAGAAATTGGGTCATTGTACTTCTCCTTTTTGTGATGTTATTAGGTCTGTGTTCATCAGCTTCAGCCACACCTCCTGCAAGTGAGCATTAGCATTCTCTGTTTTTGTACTCCTATTTATTCACCCGTGTTTGAATCTTTCATTTTTCTTTATAACCCCCATTTCATTTCTCATGTCTTTGCAGAAATTATTAGTGGAGTGGTCTCAAATGTGGTCTCTGCTCTTTTTAAGTGGTTGTGGTCACTAAAATCTACCACCAAAACAGGTATAGATCTTCCACGGCTCGCATTTCAGAACTTCCCCCGTTTTTGTCCCTTTTTATGGCAACTATTTGTTCTTTTCTGCAACAATGAGGTTGATGGGTTTTGGTTTACAGCAATTTCAAGCCATTCAATGATGAAATTTGAGGGTGGGTACACTGTTGAGACGGTGTTCGATGGAAGCAAGCTTGGAATGGAACCATTCTCTGTGGAGGTATCCCCAAGTGGGGAGCTTCTAGTTTTGGATTCTGAAAATAGCAACATTTACAAGATTTCAACGCCGTTGTCTCGTTGTAAGTTGGTTTTGTATTGAATATTTTTTGGGTTGTTCATCAATAGGTCTTTTCAAAGTTGTGGTCTTTGATTTCTGTTTTATGTAAATACCTTGTGCAAGGACCTAACTGCAGTAGTTGGTGAACTTTTCAATTGATTTCTTTCTATTTTTTCTGTAAGTTCTCCGGGAATCTGAAACTCATCATGATGAACTTTTGAAATTGGGTTTTTACATTTGCTTTTGTTTTGTGGAAGACATCAGTAGATAAAGTAGGACTGATCTTTTTGTTGAGTTTGAGACCAAATTCCTCCAATGACCCACCAAACTTCTCTGCCTTATTCTTCTTTAGATTGATTTGGTGGTTCTTTAATCTTTTCTTATCCAGAATATGAGATATTTGAACTTTCTCTAGTGAAAATCAAGTCCTTGTTTCTTCTAATTGTGTCAGCTGATTTAAACCAAATTAACTGTTTTTTCTTTAGAAATTACAATGTGTTGGCTCATTTGAATTGAATCATCCTCAGTTAATGTATTCCAACTGGGATGATTATGATTGTGGATCATATTCATAATAAACAAGCACATCTACAATTTCTCATACACTTGGTCTCATTGTAACCTGAGTTGTATGCAAACTTTCAACTTTGCTACATCAAATACGACATCCAGTTTTCGCAGTTTATTCAAAATCTTACCTTCCTGACCTTTGGTGTGTACTTGATGATGACAGCCATGACTGAACACCCACTTCTAGTTGCTTCATGTGGGATAACTTAGTCCAATCCCTCAGAGATCTATTTTGTGTTTCTTGTAAAGTCTAAAAAACCTGAAGTTTGTCAATCTGATATTTTAGAAAGGGCTGTTGATTTGCTTTTGTTTAGCAGAAGACTCACTTTTTAAAGTACAGAGTTGCATTTTAGTTTCTTTGGAATCAATATTCTAGCTTTAGAGTTTTTGCACTTCTCCACTTTTCCTTTGGAACCACTTACCTCCAGTTGCCACTTAAACATCTCTTTATCCTTTTATTTTTGTCCATTTCTTTGGTCATTTTCTTTATTCTTTTTGATTTTTTAGTCATTGGTCCTGTGAATGAATAATTTTTTGGGATTCAGTCCAACACTTCTTTTTCTTATCCAAGAGAAAGCCTTTTGTTATCTTCGACACTAGATACTAAGTTTTTGTGTCTTTGTAACTTCTTAGATTTTTATTAACTCAATTGCGATTTAGTACTGTTGAGATTTCTATTATTGATAACCCAGAATTTCCACATGTTGATATATATGGTTGAACTGCAGATAGCAGACCCAAGCTGGTTGCTGGATCACCAGAAGGGTACTCTGGGCATGTGGATGGGAAGCCAAGAGAAGCAAGGATGAACCACCCAAAAGGGCTCACTGTAGATGACAGAGGAAATATATATGTTGCGGACACCATGAACATGGCAATCAGAAAAATTAGTGATGCAGGTAAAATCGAGATTTTGTATCAGCATTCTCTTGTTCAATAAATGAAACTGTATTCGGAATCAATCATATAAATGCACCATAGCTTTGCAGGTAAAATGAGACTTTGTATCAGCATTATCTTGTTCAGTGAATGAAACTGTAATTCCGAATCAATCATATAAATTCATTTCACCAACGCACCATAGCTTTGTTAAGTACATGAGATGTTGGATCACTTCCATGGAACTCTCTTTTTAGTGTTACCGAGTTAAATATGACTTAGTATGAACTCGAGTTTTGTTTTTTTTTTTTGGGGTCAGGGGTTGTAACCATAGCAGGAGGGAAGTGGAGCAGAGGAGGAGGTCATATTGATGGTCCAAGTGAAGATGCAAAGTTTTCAAATGATTTTGATGTGGTTTATATTGGAAGCAGTTGCTCTCTTTTGGTCATTGACAGAGGAAACCAGGCAATTCGAGAGATCCAACTCCCTGAGGATGATTGTTCCGAACAGTATGATGGTAATCTCAATTTAGGTAAGACTCAACTTCCATAATTTTATCTTTTTTACCCCTCTTTCAGTATCATCACGATGGATTTTTTACAAGATGTCGCTATTCCATCATTGCAGGTATAGCGGTGCTTGTTGCAGCTGGCTTCTTTGGTTACATGCTGGCTTTGCTACAACGTAGAGTTGGAGCTATGTTTTCATCCCACAGTGTAAGTAACTTGGGGAAATCACTCTCTCTTAATACTATATGATTGCTTTGAGACCTCTCTAATGTATAACCCTTACTGTTGGTTTGTTAAATTAAAATTATTTGAAGTTTCTCCTGCAATGATTGCGTTACTGGGGTTTTCAGAAACCTATTTTTGACTAGCAAACATTATACTTTCATTGTTAAATTAAAATTATTTGAAGTTTCTCCTGCAATGATTGCGTTACTGGGGTTTTCAGAAACCTATTTTTGACTAGCAAACATTATACTTTCANCTATGTTTTCATCCCACAGTGTAAGTAACTTGGGGAAATCACTCTCTCTTAATACTATATGATTGCTTTGAGACCTCTCTAATGTATAACCCTTACTGTTGGTTTGTTAAATTAAAATTATTTGAAGTTTCTCCTGCAATGATTGCGTTACTGGGGTTTTCAGAAACCTATTTTTGACTAGCAAACATTATACTTTCATTCTTTTAATAGGATCCAAGAGCTTCAATGAAAACCATACCACAACCACCATATCAGAGGCCTCTTAAATCAGTCAGGCCCCCGATAATTCCTACTGAAGATGAGTATGATAAACCAGAAGAGGGTTTGTTTGGTTCCATAGGGAGGCTTTTCCTCAATACAGGCACATCTGTGGTTGAAATCTTTGGAGGACTATTTTCGGGTTTTAGGAAAAAGCCACCCCACCATCATATCCAACACCATTATCATCAACCAAAACATCCAAATGCTTGGCCTGTGCAAGAGAGCTTTGTGATTCCAGACGAAGACGAGCCACCATCAATAGAACCGAGGGACCCTACTCCAAGAAAAGCCTACCCATTTATGACTAATGAAGTAGAAAAGACCCGCCATTTCAAGCAAAGCCGGGCCTATTATGGTGGATGGAATGGTGATTTTCACCACCAGCAACAGCAACAGCAACAGCAACAGCAGCAGGTGCAGCAACTGCAACAGCATCAACAGCACCATCAAAAGCACTACTCATCCTCCCCTCAGACTTACTATGAGCAGAACTGTGAGACAAATGAGATTGTGTTTGGGGCAGTTCAGGAACAGGATGGACGGTGCGAAGCTATGGTAATCAAGGCTGTTGACTATGGAGATCCTATTTATAACAATCAAAATGTTCGATCTAGATATAACTATGTGGGTTACTCATATGGGTATTGATCATTTGTACCTTCATATTATTAGATCACTAGGGAGTGTATAAGCTTTGAAGATAGGAATGTGGGATATGAATGTAATAGCTATGCAATGTTACTTTTCATCTTTTTTCTTTTCTTTCTTTCTTTCAAGAAGAATGATGAGTTTCCAAAGTTGTTCTCAGTGTTTTGTATGCAAAAGGCTCTAGATCTGCTTCAAGTGTTCTGTTTTTGTCATAAAAATGAAACACATCCTACAATTAATGGTGACAATTTTCTAGCCGACATAAAATTAGAGGATTGAGAGTGATCGTTCTTGAATATTTGATTTTATGGGTTATACCGATAAATTCGGAAAGATCTGAAGTGAGATTTAGGAAATATAAGTGCAGATATTATGATTAAATTACCAAAAAAAGGCCTAGCAATCTAGAATTTCTAGTAGAAGCCAACAGTGTTTCTGCAGGGCACAGAACCCGCTGATTCATTTCCTTGTAGTTGTAATCTGATCCCTTCCATCTTATCAACGTAGAAGCTCAGCTATCTTATCTGCTTATCCATTTCCTTGGGGACTTAAAATGAAAATAAACAAATTGTTGCAAATAAGAGGACCACTGGGTTTTGGTATAAAAATGGTCCTGAAGTTTGCGATTGGCACAGTCACCTAGGAAAGTAGTGAGCTTTCACATTGGAACAGTATCAATCTATTAAATGTTTCAGTGAAGTAAGAATAAAGGGCAAAGGTTATTGTATCCAAACGTTAAAAACAACTCCAGAAGTTAATAAAATTTATCTAAAAAAGTGATAAACATTTAGCAAAAAATAGTAATAAAGAGCATACTCGGTATACAAAATTATCGTCATTGCGGGATCTATGAAAAGTGAGATGTACGTTCGAGCCTGTGATCTCAAAGTTACAATGAAACAACTTTATTGAAACCTGCTCTCGCCCAAAAAATAGTAAGTGAACTCAAAAATTTGAGTGCCCCCAAATGCTAATAAACTTCACTCAAAAGAATAAAATATAGTATAGATACTAAAAAAAGGTGATAACGGATGCGATGCCGAATTTTTTTTTAGTATCGTAGTGAAATCCAGACCCAACTATCCAAGCCTGAAACGAACCCGACCCACCAGTCACCACAATCATGGAAATTTGGGCCGACCTAACTCTAGACTGGTGGTTTTGGTCTGCAGAGCATTAGTAGGCAATTTCAGGCCCTTGTTAAAGCAACATGGGCTATAACGGAAAGGGCTTTTCCAAGATGTAATTACTTGGTAGGCCTCAGGTGGAGACAATTACATTCAAGAAGCCCAAGAAAATTTGACGGTTCGTTTGAGACTATAGGCTGGGCTGGCCTTCAGCTCCTAGCGATGAACCTTATCATATCATTTCTATTTTGTTATATAGTTTATTAACATTTAGCTAACATATATTTATAGTCGTGTACAATGTGGATTCCTATTGTGTCAACATTACATGGTTATGGTGCTCCAAAAATCTGTTGTTATCAATAAAAGAGATTTAATAGACAAACAGTTTTCAGGTGACTGTTAATAATGAGTTCAATTGCCTTATTTCAGGATTTTCTTTGATTAAATTTAAAGCAGTAAAAGCACATAATCGTGAACTAATAAAGAAAATCTTTTTATTAATTCAATCTAAGGGTTTTTAGATACAGAAAGATTGGATTAAAAACCTTGATTACAATAATAACTATTTTCTATACTAACTTAACACTAGTCTTAAAAGTGTCAAGATTGTGAATTTTGTGGGAGTTTGAATGTATGGTCTTTCTCTACCTTTTATAACCACTATCTTCGATGGTTTTATCTCCATCGACGGTTATCTAACTTGTAACTCTCAAATAGTTATTTTTCTTTCAAATAAAACTGTGTCTAGTCATCTTTCGCATTTTCTCAGATTCTGCCATGGGACCCATTCTTTAATATCTCCCAATTTGTCAAGCGTTGGTGCATCAAACATTCTTATAATTTTATATTTTAGGTCTAAATAGGTTATAATCCGAATCTATAAAGACAGAAACTTATATTTCTAGGAATTTCATTGCCAGCAAGATATTACCAAGCATTAGAGACTGAAAAGGATCAAACACCACAAGCACACACACACAAAAAGATTAATCAAGAACTGTGCAGAACTTTCAAATACAAGTATGTTTTACATGTGAACGAGTCCGAAATGAAAAACAAATGAATAAATAATTTCGAAATTTTTCCTACGTGTGCATGAACTGGTTTAGCATTCCATCGTAAGGCTTTTCATACAATACTGAAAAGTTCTATGGTGGTCGAAGCAGTTGCATCAATTATGCGCACCATCAACAACCGAATGTCCTTGCCCTGGACTCGGACCGGAGTTCTTGACACCTCGGAGAGCTAGAACTTCGTGGTATGGATGATGGCCGCCTTTCTCTTTACGGCTGGAATGTGACTTCACCTGAACATGGTGGCGATGCTCTGGACAGTTGATGGGACGAGCTCGAACGGAAGTGAAAAGCAAGGTGAAGCTCAAAAAGAGAACAAAGAAGATAAGCAGATGGTTGGGTTGCCTGGCCATGAATGCAGAATTAGAAGGTGGGCGTGTAGCCTTGAGAAGTTTTTTTTTTTGGTGTTGGAGAGGGGAAAGTATTGAGTTGTGAAAATGTGTTGTAATGTTGGTACATTTATATTGAAAAATGGTGAACCTAGTTGACTAGAAAATGGAATAAAAAGTGTTAGGTTCAAAGACGTATAGGGTTTGAACTAGGTTTAGGAAGCATGGGAGGAAAATTCATTTTGAGAGAGAGAGAGAGGGAGGGGGGG